CGCGCCCAGGGCCGTAACGACCGAGAAGACGAATGGTATGCGCGGCCCGGCGAGCTGCTATGATGACTGTCTCACTGAGAGGGCGGAAACGGCGCCAGCTTATTGTGATATCGCATTTAGCCGGCGTGCACGGTTCGTCGGAAGGTCATCTCAGGCTCAAAAGAAACGATACATACCATTCGAAAGCTGACGGTGAGCTGAATCCAAAAATGTAATTTTTATCAAAATCGATCGATGGCCTTTTTTGAAAATTGCGTTTTTGTAAAAACTTTATAATTTTTTATTCAACGGGCTGTCCCGGACATTCTTGAAAACACAAACATGTATTTTTGAGTTCCAGTGAAAGCTGAAAGCCAAAAGAACAATATTTAGCGAAGCAATATTTCCTAACATTAATATGCGTCTCCCACAGCCGACAATAAGGCGTAATCACACAGCTCAGTGTCACGATGGACTAAAGTCGGCCACACAGAAGCGTGAAATGACACTTATCGACTCGCAGACCCGGCGCTCTCAGCCCGCCTGACCGGCCACGGTAAGGAGGTTCGACTGTCGTTCTGCTAAACGGGCGTCATATTTGTTAGTTTAACGATTCAAGTCGGTACTTGAGTTCTTCAGGATACATGAGCAGAAGATTCATTGCTCTGTCACCTTCACATCATGCATTAATTTGCATTTGCTCATGTCTACTTTGCTCAATTGAGCCTGGTATCATGCCCATATAAGGAAAATTGGCCGCGCTGAAATGTCAGAGGTTGCACCGGCCTCAGCTCGGGTGGAGTGGGGGTAGCGCCCGGTGGGGCAGGGTAACCTTTGACCGGTCGCACGGCCGAGCAGCTGTCACCAGTACAGCCTCTGACAGTGATACCCCGCTCACTTCAACCGCGCGGGCACTGAGCGCAGCTGGATGGAACAATACATGCATAAGAAAAATGTAAATTAAAGCATGTTGTAAATCAAGCAGAACAATGAATTTTCTTCACAGGTATCCTGAATAACTTTAATAGCGATTTGGACAGTTAAACTGACAAATATGACATCTATTTAGTAGAACGAGAGCCGAACGTTCTTTCCGTGGCTGGTCAGGCGGGCCGAGAGCGCCGGGTCTGCGAGTCGATAAGGGTCATTTCACGCTTCTGTGTGGCTGACTTTGGTCTATCGTGACACTGAGTTGTGTGATTGCGCCTTATTGTTGGCTGTGGGAGACGCATATTAATGTTAGGAAATATTGTTTCCCTAAATATCGTTCTTTTGGCGTTCCGCTTTCACTGGAACTCGAAAAAAACGTGTTTATGTTTTCAAGAATGCCCGGGACAGCCCGTTGAATAAAAAATTATAAAGTTTTTACAAAAACGCAATTTTCAAAAAAGGCCATCGATCGATTTTGATAAAAATTACATTTTTGGATTCAGCTCACCGTCAGCTTTCGAATGGTATATACCGTTTCTTTTGAGCCTGAGATGACCTTCCGACGAACCGTGCGTGGGGGGTTACATCGTCGTTATGGAAAGTTCTTTCATGTAACGTGGACGTTGAAAATACAATCACTAACAACCTTCTCGCAGGTAATTGGTCATCAAACAAGTAATTGTTTTCCATCCTGTTGCTGCTGATTTTCCCTATAGCAAAGAACTTGGGCTGACTTGGAACCATAACTTGAACTTAAGCTGAACTTGGACCGTACCAATTGTCTGTGCCTCTCACATTTTTTTTTTTTTTTGCAACGGAATTGCTCTGTGCGTCTGTTAGACACAGTTAACGATCAATCAACATCATCGTGTCCTTTTATTGGTGGCGAGCTAATATGTTCTCAAATATAACAAGTCTTGTTACATTTTTCTGATAACTAGATAAAGGGCAACAGTCGTAAGCTGTAGCTCCGATGCAGGCTCCTCTGGTTCACTTAGTAGGAATAGCTTGTCATGGCGATAGTTTTATTGCGCTGTTTTATTCAACTGCGTGCTTCTCCCCTCCAGTTCCGGCTTTTATGTGATTTTCTTAACTTCAAACCTCTCATGTAAATTCCTGCTTTGATTTTTTATGCATAACAAGCAACCATTATCATTGTCTTCATGATAATTGATTTTCATATCAATTTTAGCTGCAGCATTTTAGTTAAAAAAGACTGAGTGAGGGAATTACGCCGGGAGCTGCTGAGAGCATCATATGCATAATATCAAAAGCATTTTCGTTCCCTGCGCTCGGCTGACACATTTACGAAGTCTTTAATCTCATTCACAATGAAACAATGGGCCTTCTACCCGGATCCTTTAAAAACACCTAAATGCGTCTTGCATTCGTCCATCAAGCCTCCATGCTCACACCAATTTTAGGCATACACCGGCAACGCTCAACGCGAGCGACCCCGAATAGGCCTTTCATCATTGCGTATGTACACTCGCTACATTTCTTTAAAGTCCAACCCACCATGATAAAAACAGGTCCTAACGCAGAGTAAGACATTGCATTATTTATCTGCTGCTGTCTTTTATTACATTATCTCGTGTCTCTGCATTATATTATCCGCACAAAATAGAAACAGAGCCGCATGTCCAGGTACTACTCAAGTCATTGTTGGTAATGGTTACTTGGCAAAATCATCCATTCAAATGAAACAACAAATAGATAGATAGAACTAGAAGTCTTTATAAAAAGTGGATGGGCTTAGTGCTTTGGCAAACGTCTCACGGGCTGCCGGAACTGCACTCCCTGTCCAGAACACAACAAGGCACTTCTGGCTGCCTGATGGCAGACGGCCGGCCGCTGGCGAGGCCGCTCTCCTGCGTGTTCCGCCTCCTCTCCGAGATAGCGCACGTCTTCCCTCTTCCTCGCTCTCAGCGCCAAATGCTGATCACAAACACACACACACAGCACCACTGCCGCCTCCGCGACCACTCTGCAGCCAGGGCTTACTGATCATCCCTCACACACACACACACTCTCACACATGAGACTCTCATCTTTGGCCGGCGTGCGGCGGCTACTCTGTCCGACCGGGGGGCGGCACCGTCCCTGGCCGCCCCCTCCCTCCCCGTCCTCTGCTGCGTGGCTCGCGACGTCGCCGATCTGCGAGTGATCTCCGGTCTCAGGACAGCAGCGCCGATACGATCGCCGATCTACTCTGGCTGCTCGGCCGTCTCGCCGGCGGCCCGCGCCTACCTCTGCGCTGCCAAAATGGCCCGCAAAGCTCACTTCCGCCGGCACACTGATTGCCAAAGTTCCTCGCGCCCCGCAGTCCCGGGAGGGGAGGGGCTGTCGCCAGAGTATCGCTCCCAGTGCACGCTCGGTGGGGGAAGTTACGTGCGACAGAGGCGCTGTCGGTGAACCATTGCTGGTGTCACCGCTCAATGCCGGCGCTGTGAGGAAGTGTGGAGGCTCACTGTTCGGTAATGCAGCGGGCCAGAATGGCTTCCTGTCACCGCCTGCACGCTACCGCCCGGCGCTTCTCGCGGATACGGACGGAGGGCTTAAAGGTAGTGTGCCAGCTTTCCTGGACCGTATGGAGTTAATGGCCCAGATAAGGAGAACCGGATTTTTAGAACTTATCCATACCTTCAAAACTCATGGAAACGTCTTAAATTCTTCAAATTTTGAGTACCCCAGTGCGAAATTCGCCCCGACGGGTTGTCGGTCGTACCCCAACCACATTTCACACCACTATGAACAATAAATGCACACACTGAAATCGCTATTACCGATAGGCTCATCCAATCAAGTTTGATAAACCCGTTCATCATCATCTCCTGCGGTTTCGAACACGCCTGTTAGGTGGTGCGGTAGACCGCACCCAAAGCCAGGGCCCCGGTAACGTGAGGTAGCCGAGTCGGGGCAGCGTGCGCTGACCCAAGCCGGGGCCGCGCGTCCTCCCGGTGTCATGTGATAGCCCGGGGCTGCCCGCGGGGATGCGGTAGACCGCGCCCAAAGCTGCGGCCCCGGCTTGGGTCAGCGCACGCTGCCCCGACTCGGCTACCTCACGTTACCGGGGCCCTGGCTTTGGGCGCGGCTTCTGCTCATACTTTGTGGTGCGGTGGTGGTGCGTCGGGCCGCGCGCTCTGACTTCGGCCAAGAAAAATGCGTCAGCTGATCATTGTCATTTCTGCCACTTGCGTGTGGTGAAATGGGGTCATAACTTAAGAGACGGCTTTTTCATATCAATTATTTTACATAAAATCATATTTCAAACCATAAATAATGTTCGACAGCCAAATAAAAGAAACAATACCAATACAGGCTTACAGTTTAAGGCTCGACATTGTGTTGTCTACGATTAGACAGCTGATAACTCATCCCCGTACGTCGTAACTCTATAATGACCTTTGCTTATTGTCACATGTGCGCCGCATTCGCGATTGTTGCCGACGCCTGTTTGCAGGTCAGCCCACTACAGTTGTTATACATATCGAAACACCGATAAACTTTTAGGCGAAAAAGGCACTATTCCAGGCCCATTTTTGATTTTCTTTGCGATATTAGGTAAAAACAGAAGCTTCTTATCCTAGGAAAAATAAAATGGGAAATCTTTCAAAGGTGGCACACTACCTTTAAACAAAGCGCGTGTCTATGTAATGATGATGCTGATTTATGACGTTATGAAATTTTAACACATACTGCATGGTATTTAAGACGACCCAACAACAAAAGATCTTGGGTGTATTTCATATTAATAAACGTGTTGGCGCCATACTTTCTGTGAATTGTCTCAAATGTTAGTGCAACCTACATTATATCTAAAATTTTGCTTATTGCAATAATTTACCCAGCAACGGGAAAAAATATGCAAGTACGAGACAGGCACAATTTAGTGTTGATCACCTGTGCATCAACATTTGCATGCTTGAAAAGTGAGTGGATCCTCACAGAGATCGGCATCTCCTGCTGCCCCGAGCACCACTTTACCGTACCGAGTGACGTCCGTCGGTGGCGACCTGCGTCCGTCGGAGACCCGTGAGGAAGGTGAGCGCTGGTGGTTTGACTTGTGACCCTCCCCGCCCCGCCCGCAGGCCAGAGCGGCGTCCCGTACGACCCGCGGCACAACAACAGCTACGAAAAACGGCTGATGGACTTCATCGTGCGCGACTACGACCGCGACGTGCGGCCCGTGTTCAACGCCTCCGACCCGGTCATCATCCAGCTGGGCATCACGCTGACGCAGATATTCGACATGGTGAGCGACAAGACAAACATTAGTTTCAGCGGCATTTCTCCTATTAGGAGAGCTATATTGAAAAATAATATAATTAAGCCAGGCGAAACCGGAGAGCTCCACGCTGTGCTGCTGTCACAATAAGATTGTTCCAGCGACCAGTAGTTCAGATGAAACCCTGAATACCCTCAGCTGTCAGATGTCAGGGCGGCCCAGCCGTCAGACTGACTGTGACCTAGTGCAACCCGCCTTACTCGAGTGAGGGCGAGGGTAAGGACAGTCGCCGCGCGGAAACTACTCGTTGCTGGAAACCCTATTTACTTGTTGCTGGAGACCGATAATGCTGCAACCTACCCCAGGTAAAATTAATTTTCGACTGAAAATAGCAGCGGTGATGGGGGGCGGATAATGTCGGCTGCTGTATCCGTAGCGTCATTACGTAACGAGTCCTGAGTAGGTACCGGATCGTATTGCAAACTGATCCTATTCAGCGACCCAGCACTGGCAGTTTTCTGACCAAATTGCTTCAAGAACAAAAGGTGGTGTCGGGATACTCGCAATCTGGTTCACAATCATTATTTGTTGCGGTTGTTGCGCTCCCCTCCCTCAGCCCATGTCGCGCGGTTCTTGTTGCTACCACACAGTCCGTTTTCGGTAACAACCTCTCCCCCCGCGTGCCCCACCGAACACGCGTGTTCAGCGGGCTGCCGATGTCGGCTGGCACTTTGGGGAGTTACACACCGAGGGAGCGGCACTGAAGTGCCTTTAGGTCGGTCTTTGAGCAGCTATTGCGGCCTGCTTTGTCGGACCGTAGGGTGTAGGCGAAACGCAGCCTGCATAATTTATATGGTACAATAATGTAGATGAAATACCTACATGATTGTGCGAGAGCGCATCTTCTCAGTGAAGCTGGTGGGAATGGAGCGCCGCTTTCTCAAGATGCAGACAGTGGACCTACATATACGAGTACATGTATACCTAATTTGTGTGTGTGTAGGTACACACTGCGCAGTGCACATGCATGCATGAGCAATAAGGATGGTACTTGCCTTCTTTGTCACTCATATAGAACATATCCAATCAGCTAAAAACTTAAAATTCGAAGTTATTCCATCACCTCAAAAGAAATTTGAAGTAAGTATACATACATACTTTCTGCTCTGATCCTTTTTTGCGTCTACATACGGTACATGTACCAAGGCTTTATAAAAAGGTATGTGATTTCTTTGTTGGCCGGAGCGGCTGGCGCCATCAGTTGTAATATAACGTTATCCTGCCATTGACCAGTTCACAAAGCCCAACTTGTTTCGCCAATTCCGAGCGCGTCTGTTGTTGACTTCGGCCAACCAGCCGGCGGCGCCTCCCCGGGCATTTATTGAACTTTGATCACTGTTTACCGCAGACAACGTGAACGCTTGTTGCTTATTGCGCACCGATGTTTGCCAGCAAAGTTATTGCGATTTTCTGGAAGTACCTACATTATTGATTTGAATTAAGTAAAAGAAGTAATCTCTTTTTGCGTACCGTTCTTTTCATACACACACCAGTCTTCGTTTCTTTCATCTTTATGAAATTCTTTTTTCTTGTTTGAGCTATTAAAAATATAGAACTGTAGGCTACAAGGTGATGTTACATAACGGCATTGGTTCTGATTTCATTTGCTTTGTCATGCATTCGAAGTTTAATGTGTGCAGCAATTTGATTAGTTTGCATGATTGCCATCCCGAACTTGCACGAGGAGCCAAATATAGTCCTTCTCTGCGTTCCTATAAGACCACTTTATTCATGCAGCATTAGGAGACTACATTCCTTGCCATCGTGACTCGCTGGAGCCGAACTGTCCCATAATCCTCACGTGATAGGGCCTTGCTCACGTGTGCTTCTGATCGACTGCATCTGAATCACTTCAGCGTCTCTGTATGAGTATTAATAAGTGTACAATCATATAACCTGTGATCCAGCCCGTAAGTCAGCGCCTCTGGATACCCGACCCTCGGCTCTGCAGGGACAATACCTCCAGAACCCCACTGTTCCGCCGCCGCGTCCCCCCGCTGTTCCTGCCGTCCTGTACCCACTGATTCCCTGATGGCGTCCAGTACCGGGGCCATCAGCACCGCACAGTCCATCAGTGCCTGACAGCGAGGACCGCGCAGCTCTCTGCAGCCGGCTGCGGCCACAGGCGGCTCCTCTGCAGATGTCGTTTCCGCTCTGTTGGCAGCGTCCCGGCGGTTACCACTCGGTCACCCTGTGAAGATAACGCCGCTGTCCGCATAACGATAGAGTTGTCTTGATCTACTGGATATCGGCTGATAGCTTGCTGTGGGCAGGACTCATTCTGATCTAAACATCAATCGACGTCAAATTACGGCTCCTAACAAGCCCTCGCTGCCGAGTTTTCAATCTCCTACGGACGCCCCATACCCATATGTCTCTGAAATGGTTTAATTGTTTAGCAGCACTCTGAAGTTCATTCATCTAGATTTCATTTTGTACTGACCACTGTCCTCTTTTCAACGTTCATACAGCCACGCTGCCTTCAGCTCTGACCAGCGCGCGTCCAGGCCTCGTCCCCACGCCACTTGTTCGCCCGATGGTTAACGCCGGCTACCAATGCCGCCAGCAGCCACAGTCCATTCATGTTTGACAGATCAATGCCAGTAGTGTTAGTGTTCGTCAGCGCATAGTTGTACCGGACTGTCTCCATACGCTCCCCTTTTGTCAGTCCCATCGGGGATTGTCAATTAGTAGACGCTCTTTTTTGTGACAATTTACCACCGAATGGCCTTATATTGCGTTTGTTGATCTTTGCTTCAATAGCTCATGCTAGGTTCCCATGGAAACCGATAGCACTAACGTGGCTAGTGTCATTAGAAGCACTGTTAAATCGAATGTCTCCTAGAGTTACTGTTACAATAAGCGCATTACTTCTACGATTTGTTTGTTGAAGTAAATGATCATAACTACGATTTCTTGCAGTTACATGTAACTGTCTTATATTTCATTCGACGCATATTGAGTAAAATTAACGAGCAGTTAATCATTGGCTATGAGGTCTATCTTATGTTTAATAGCTATGCATTTGTATGCATTATTTTAGTTGGGCACACAACATCGCATTGTGTGTCGAAATTGGAAAGAAGCTTTGTCATCAGGACGTGAAACATCGGCATTCTCGTGGCTTTAAGACTTTATCCATCAACAAGTGCTGCCAGGGAAAGCTAAAGGAAGTAACTCATGCATGCAAACCTACCAAAAGGCGATAACTTTCATCCAAGTGATTGACTTGACATTGGCCTCGGTGGCGACATTTCAGAGCTGGATATACTGGCGCTGTCCCGGCGGACCGTCTGCTCCATACGACAGATTTCCGGCCGGTTTCCGCTGGACTCAGTCACCCGGTTCACTCAGCAGCGCCGGCCCGACTATAAGTCTCAGTTCCAGCCGGCCCGGCGATCCAATAAAGGACGGGGTCTCAGAAGACGCATTACGCGTCGACGCGTTATGTGCGTGACAACGGCGCCGCCTAGAACGTCTGGTTTTGGCATTTTGTCGTCCTCCGTTGGACTGTATGAATGTCACCGGTCTCCCGTTATCTCCGTATCGCTAATGCTCACTGATGTCTCCGGCTTCATTCACCAGCATTCGTCGGCATCGCACAGCTTTGGCACTGATGACATGCTACCCCGTAACGGCCCGGGACGTTCAATAACCCTTTGCTTCTTTGCCGAACATTTCTGGTAATATCCAGCTGTCGTGCAAATACCTGTGTTTATTGCCCGGACTCTTTTCCGGCAAGCGTGGCGTCTCTAGCACCGCAGCTCGTTATTTGAACGCTCTGCTCACAGCCAATTAATGCGACACATCGAGCCGACCCACACGCCTCAATCCGCGAACTGCAAGCGCTCCGTCCGTGCCGAACCGATGCGGGGGCGCCGCCGCGGCGTCCAGTTTGGCCGTGTCAGCACCGGCTAACGAACAGACAGAAACGACCGTGCAGATAGCGCCTGTCGGCTCAATAGCACGACGACAGGAAATTGCGGAACGGCTGCAGCCGACGGCCGCCGGCCGCCGCGTGTAAAGGGATAATCCCAGAAAATACAGGGTTGGGCAGATAAATTGGGACAAAATACATATTTGCATTTAGAACGCCGTAGCTTAGAAATTTGTAAACATAGGCATTTCAAATTTGGATCACATATTGTCACACCAATTTTACACATTTATCACCAAATATGGTCACCGTGGTCCACCTGCATCAGTCCTTATTGGTGCCTGGACTGGCCGCACGCGCGGCGAGATCTTCCGTCTGAAATGGCTCGTAATTGTAGCCAACTGGCACTGCTGAGGCCCACTACAGTCACATGGAGACGTTCGTTAGACTCACCCGCAAAAACGCCCCAGCAACCGGAACTTGTGTGGGCTGAGGTTTAATGAGGAAGGGGGCATTTTCCCTTGGGTACAGTTTGCGGGATCCTCCGTTTCAGGAGATTTTGTATTTAATTTACTGTATGCCGGGGAGCTGACTCCTCGAAGAGCATCAATCCATGCAGGATGTTGCCTTCTTCCATCTTGTTGATTCAAACTGCCGGAATAATGGTTAGGTACTCTGTAATGGCGAACCCCCTCCCGATTCCGTAAAATAAGGGGGCCCCACGTGACCGTCAGAAGTCACCGAGTGGAATGCCATCACCGATGTCTGCTGCATGCTTTTTGAAACTAAGATCACGTCTTCGGGGCTGGTTGCGATGTTACATGGTGTTTGCGGTTGTTCATATGTTCGGTAATGGGGATACCATCGTCGAAAAAGACCTGCACGTGCTTGCTGGCTTCTCCAAGCCCTTCAAGAGGAAACAATCTTTTTAACGTCACAGCTGCTTCAATATCTATGTTAACAGGTTAATATGCATCAATGCACAAGAGTACATGTTTGAGGTGCTGGTATATCGCTTTCTCATGGCGCGGCTACCTTCGTTGTAAGCTCGCGCCCCTGTTTTCGCAAGGATCCTCTGATTTAACTAAGTTTTGCCTTTTAGCCCCCCTGGAAAACCGGGGGAGCGGCCGGTGTCAATGCAATAGGTATGTAAGGATGAGTGAATATCATCTCTTCCTCCAACGTTTACGTCTCTTCGATACACACCACTTTCAGCCATTTGATGGAGCATAGTTAGAGTATTGGCATGCATGTGCGCGCGGACTAAGGTGATAGTGGCTTGCTTAAGCCCACGTTCTGTGACCAGCCGACTCAAAATTACAACGCAGCCTGCATAACATGGAAAAGTATTCATTAGCCTATATTTATGTTCAAAAATTATCTTAATCGCTAAAAAAATAGTCGTTTTACAGGAAGTTGAAATTTGTCCCAATTTATCTGCCCAACCCTGTAGAGCTAATTACAGCGTGCTTCCCACCAAATAAATAGCCACCTGAAATGAAACGTTATGTGACATTGGCAGGCATAGTTTCCAGAGCGCGTGACAGTTGCGTATGTATGAGTGTACCTTCAGAAATTGGGAAATAACGACACTGGCTTGTTTTTCTCTCGCCAGAGATGGCATGAAAAGTCTGCGTTCTTGGCGAATGTCGAGAGGTTGGGAAAGTGGAAGCTGTCTTTTTACCGTCTGGCTGATGATTTTATATTACTTTAGTTACATTGATGATTCTATATTACTGCTCTTGCTAACGATTTATTGTGAGCCCCAAATAATTTTACGAGAAATTGAAACGAGAAATTGCCCCAAATACGAGAAATCCTCGTATCATGCAGAGGAAGTTGCATTACATGGACAGCTGACAAAGTGGTCACTTTATTGAGTGGTCATATGGCCTTGCATTGAGTCCTGATTCCACCTGTCCACTACAACTTTATTAACGTTCGTAATTTGTACTTAGCTGTTAGAACATGTCTTTCTCATAAGTTTTTCTCGCTTTTCAGGATGAGAAGAACCAAGTTTTAACCACAAACGTTTGGCTTGACCAGGTAAGGAAAGCTATATTCCCTAATTTACAGCTGGTTTATTCAACGAATATTAGGTACTTTTTCGTCCTCACTTTAACCTTTAATTGATTTTTACTCAAGCTCTACTCCCCCACCATGCCATCGAAAAGCCATAGGTATACATCGCAGAATGTTGAGCAGAATCCTAAAGGTTTTCAAATAATGCGATGCGTCATATCCATTGTGCAACTTACGAGTATCAGCTTACCTTGCTTCAGAAGCTTCCAGCGACCGCAGGTGAAATCAAGTGCATCGAGCTGCTCAATGGCCTGGATGCAGCTGTCTGGAGCAGTCTGCTCAACGTCTGATGATCTATCACTGATCTGATGTTTTTCTTTTCTTTTCTTGAACGCTAGTGATTTTATATATTTTCCCATTTCTCCCCAGGAATGGACGGATGAGCTTTTGACGTGGGATCCCAGCCAGTTTGGTAATATGAAGGAGCTGAGGGTGCCATGTGAGAAGATCTGGTTACCTGACATCGTCCTTTACAACAAGTAAGTCCACACTCGCAGTCTCCACACGCAATGCTTTTTATGTGCAGTGAAATTTGTGGACCGATCTTGATGACATAGTGCTTTGGAATGCACAAAACACAAAATTGATAGCGATATTCTAGAAAATCCATAATTAGATAAATCAACACGCGCAGTGGAAGGGTTACGAGTACTCGTACCTACTACGCCCAGTGGAAGGGGGGGGGGGGCGGATGGCGCCCCCCCTAAGATCTCAGCTCCCACTGGAGCTAGAAAGACGAAATTTGGAGGGTAGGTGGGGACCCTGTTGTGTGTGAATTTCATGACTCTAGGTCAATATCTTCAAGGTCAAATGAGGTCAAATGTGGTCGAATCTACCATATGAGTGACTTTTTAGCGTTTACACGCCGATAACTCAAAAAGTTACCGGCCGATTTCCTTTTTTTCACTATACGAAAGAACATACATTTGTTAGTAGGTATGGTGAATTTCTTGCTAATCCAGCAATGAATATGGCAGTTAGAAGCCTGCTAAGCGTAAGATGTCGCCGGCTGAAGCGGGATCGGCCGACGCGGGAAACGCGGCAATCACAATTTTGTGTTTACACACTCATAACTCAAGTTGTTACCGGCCGATTTTCAAAATTCTTTAGCCATAAAATTGCCTGCACATTTCTTAGTCTTCTAACCAAATTTGACGCGAATCAAATATAATCAGCGGCAAGGAGCGCGATGTAAAGACGGAACCGTCCCGCCCCGGCACAGTCTACAATTCAGGCGGCGCGTAGCGGCTAGCGCCGGCCGCCGCGGTGGCACGATGTTTGACTTTACACCGCTATTACTAGAAAAGCTGTGGACCAATTTTTTTATTTCTTGCACAAGAAGATGCGAAATTCAATTCTGGATAAGTAGCTAGAATTTCACATTAATATTACGTTTGCGGCGCGAGTTATTGGCGAAAAACAGGAGGGGTGGGCGAAATCCGCCCCCCCCCCTTCTTCCACTGCGCGTGTTAAAGGGACCCTCCCACCTTCAAAAAAGTTTATGAATTGGCATGAAAGTGATGTCGCTCGGTTCAGAAAGAGTGAAAACGAATATCTACCAAATTTCACCGAAAAATATTCGCCGGTTTTCATGATATTAGACTTTTACTTTTGTTTACTTTTTGGGATCTCCGCTGTTCCTAGCGACTTTATTTGGAAGCAATAGTTTGGCAGCTGAAAGTGCGGCACTTGTCGCGCGCAAAGCAGCATATACCACCGCGTGCTACAAAACGTTTTAGTCAAACATTTAAAAATCGTTAGATATCTGCGCTGACGTCACACATTCAGAGGGGCATTCCTACATATGCATTAGCCCCTCTGAATCAAAATGCTGCAATTTTGAAATTCAATATTTCCGATTTAAGGTATTTCTCGATGTTGTGAGTGCCGAAACCGGTAATTGTGAGCCAGGGACCCCATTTTAGCTATCTCAACTCAAATCTAATGTTAAGGTGGTAGGGTCCCTTTAACCCGCGCCCTGCTGGGGGGGGGGGGGTGTTTGAACACCCCCCCCTTGTGGTTTTTCGCGAATATCTCAAAAACGGCGCCGCCGTTTCTGGTACACCTTATCATACATCAATTCTACACATGTTGTGAAAATTTCAGACCAAGGTCATTCAAGGTCAGGTCACCAGGTCACTTGAAGTGACCTCACCTCATAAAAAGTTTCAATGTCTGTCATAGCTACACCGAGTGACCGATCACTTTGAAACTTTCAGCGATTGCTAAAAGCAATAGCATGTACAAAATGTATATCTCAGAATTTTGATATCGATGACCTAAGGTCAGGTCAATTTTGCGACCTCCCCATTATAAGTCAATGGGAGAAAATTGAAATGCGCCTCTTTTGGACGAAAGACATTATAAACACTCCCAAACATCGAAGTACAAGTGGTTTAGACACACTGAACATGAAAATGGTGTCCGTGACCCTTGTTTATGCCCTGAGGTCATCTTAGGTCACGAATGGTATCTAACAGTTTTTCGCAGATAACTTTTGATAGAGGCATGCTAGAGCGATGAAAACGCCTTATATGTGTTCAGCTCGACGATACGGATCGACTGATACGCAACATGACCCTTTCCGGTCAGGTCATGACCTTGACCTGAGGTCAAATTTTCAAGTTGACCTTTCAAGGTCAAGTTATAGTTCATTCGATGCGTCTTGACAAGAGGAACACGATGCCGGTACAAGTAAGCTCGTACAAGGCTTGGGTCAAAAGTTATTGCAGAAAAACTGTTTCCGAAAAAATCGGCTATTTTTGCAGTTTTTGCCCCCTGCAGGCAAAACCGTTGACGTTAGGTCAAATCTGAGAGAATTACTCAGAAAGGGCGTTAATAGGGCTATCGAATGCGTTTTTCCGCGGCGCTGTAGCTCTGTTGGTTCCCGAGTTATGCGTTGGCTTCTTGGAAATTTTCGACATTCGACCTGGAAATCGGCGAAATTTTGCCTTCAATGACCTCTGGTGACCTGACCTTTGACCTGACCAAAAAATTGACCGAAGTGATTTCGTCATTATTTTTGACGCTCTTTCGAACGCCGCCTTCCGCGTATCGCTACGTGGCCCAGGAGCCGAGTTACAAGGGGGGGGGGGTGTTCAAGCACCCCCCCAGCAGGGCGTGGAAATCCAGGACCCCCAGCCGGGCGCGGGTTAAGAATCGAAGTGAATACCTAGACAAATATGCCAACAAGAGCTGTCTGACAAATAGGCAACTAGCATGATAAAAAGGTGGTTAGAATTATTCATTTTAGCAAATCAGCATACTATTGTAAACCTAATAGCTGTCTAATGTAATATAAAGATATTGGACCAGTGGGGTGCGGGCGTCATGTATTGTTCATCTATGGAAGATGAGCATGAGCTTGTGGACTTTCCTTCAGTGGTGCATGGGAGATTTTAATCGGCTGTTTAATGCATTGTGTTGTTCCTTAACTATTCTCGTTCACAACAACAAAATAATCCAATAACTTCAGCCGCCAAATAAACAGATACAACTGATTTTGTAAATAATCGATGCATCTTATTCACATCAAGCTAATCATTATCAGCTCCTCAGCTGTAATAAGCTTACACTTGGTCCTAAATATCTGTGTTAGGTGCTCTAGTTCAAGTTCACCTGTGACAATAACTACATCTCTGAAAAGAGCCCAACTAACTGCCTATAGTAGGCACTAAGTCTGTCCGGCTGACAATAAGGCATAAAGACATGTTTTCAGCATGGTTGTCATGATCAATTACACTGCCTGCGTTTTAAAACTTTTTTCAAAAGGTCGGAGGTTTCTCAGCTATTTTTATACAAGTTTTGTGTGCTGAATCCGAAAAAGCTGTCCATTTTTCTCGATTAGCTCGAGTTTTCGAACTATGTCAAGGATAAAAGTTCACACACTGATGCATTTATAGGCCGACATTGGAGTGGGCATGCTGATATATTTTTCCCAAGGTTGGATATTTCTCAGCCGTTCTAACACAAGTTTCGTGTGCTGAGTTCAAAAAAGCTATCCATTTTTCTCGATTAGCTCGAGTTTTCACACTATGTCAAGGATACACACCGATGCATTAATATGCACATTGGAGTGGGCATGCTGATACATTGTTCCCCAAAGTTGGAGAATTCTCAGCTGTTCTATAATAAAAGTTTCGTGTGCTGAATCCAACAAAGCTATCCATTTTTCTCGATTAGCTCCAGTTTTCACACTATGTCACGGATAACAGCTCACACACTGATATATTAATATGAATCTTGGAGTGGGCATACTGATGCATTTTCCCCAAAGATGGAAGATTTCTCAACTGTTCTGATGCAAGTTTTGTGTGCCGAATTCGGAAAAGGTATCCATTTTTCTCGATTAGCTCGAGCTCCCACACTATGTCAAGGATACACACCGATGCATTAATATGCACATTGGAGTGGGCATGCTGATACATTTTGCACTTTTTTAGGTCCCATCTCGATTATTTCCCAGAAAACTGGTGATTGTAGTGAAGAGCAGGTAGAATGTTTCCACAAAGACTGTGTGGCCACAAAGTGTGATGGAAAAACGGTATAAGGGTCGGTGGGACGTCAACTTCCTGGCGGACTATTGCTGGTGCTTGAAGAGGGACGTCCCATGTGTTCAACACAGTCGAAAATCCGTAAAAAGGCCATTTGTGTCACAGCAGTGCGTGTGTACTGTAATCGGAATTCACTTATAGTGGGTCAGTTTGCAATTTAAACATATATATGCTTCTGTGTGATTAACTATACTAAGCCAATCAGCATAACTGTGAACATATGAGCAAAACGACGTATCTTAAAAAATCGAGCTAATCGAGCAAAACGGATTCCATTTCCGGAATCAGCGTGAAAAACTGACCTATAAACAGTTGAGAAACCATTGACCTTATAAATCACGCAGACCAGTGTTATAACAGAAAATCTCTTTGCTGTCACTGAGACTTCTGCCGCGACTACATAGAAACTATTGCGATTCTAAGTGCGGGACTCTGACGGCAGACCATCATGGAGTCTTTGTGATGCTCCTGTCGCTGACCTTTGACCAATGACCACTGGTAGGTCATCGCGATTCTCCTGCCGCCGGCCCTCCCTCTTCCCTGGCGGACCAGCGCCATGCATCAGACCGGGCTCGCCTTATCGTTTCCTCCACGCCGACCACCGGCGCGCCAGATCAATTGACGGCGCGTCGCAATTGTCCCATCCGGCCGGCGGCGCGCGGAGGGCGCCATGTGGTCACCGATAGAGCCGCGCCGTGGTGGACCTCGCGGCTGGTCTCTGGCCGCACCGACCGCTGGCAAACCGCACCGTGGAACAGAGACACTGCGGGCTGACGCAAGATACATGCAGAACTCTGCATCCAGCTTTCAGCGTTGTACGGAAAAGTCTTCTATTGCACTGTGTAGTAGGGGAAGCGGGGGTAGCACCGCCATGTGGGCAACACCGCCATCCCCTCTATCGGCAAAACTCTGAATTGTAAATGTAAACACCTGCCATTTCGGTGTCCAAACGGAAGCGGGGCGCCACGTGAGGTAGGTCTCGCTAAGATTTATTTGATTTTAAGATCGCAATTGCCCATTTTGTGAATTACTAACCATCGTTGTAACCATTTGGCATGTTGTAGCACCAAGTAAGTGGTCATTTCAAGTCAAAATACCTCGATTTTTCCGTTAAATTTGAGGGCATGAAGTGCTCTTCGTTGAGAAAGGAATTACAGAAGAATCGCGTCCCGGCTTGTTTTCCCGTCGGGGCGTTATCGGCCCATGACTGTGTGTGGGGTAACACCGCCATGCTCGGCGGTGCTACCCCAAGGGGTGGCAAAATGGATAAAGCCGCAATGATGACTCACTCAGCTCGGAGAAGAGCTTTAGTTAGGCCGCAAACGTCGTCTGTTTTTTAACCTCACGTTCGACTTCACTGGATGTTTCGAAATAAACGTGAATTTGCCAGGCTGTGTATGCATATTGTCCGCACCAAACAGTCTGATCTGTGACAAACTAACAACCAACTCTTGTGTGTCTTATATGAGTATGAGTTACTATTTCAGACAGCAGTAACGCTACCAAGGGCGTCTGTCACCGTAAGGCCGATCTGTGGATAACACCACCATCGGTGGCGGTGCTACCCGCACATTTTTGGAGGACGAAAAATGCAGGACTTGTTTTCGACGTCTGTAAAGTAGCGAAATTTTATAATGGAGTGCTGGAAACTTTGCCAACATGTAGGAAAACATCCCTACTTTCACATGAGTGCAAAAGGAGCTTCGTTTTTACTACGCATATCAGCTCGGTGAGCAGAACTGCTTAAGGTGGCGGTGTTCCCCCCGCTTCCCCTACTTGATAATAAGTATTATAAAAAGTCAGTGATATTATATGCCTAAACAACTTTTGGGTTTCATATTTGTGCTGCAGTGTGATCAGTTAGGCCGGGTAACTACATTTGACAGGAATATTAATTATAGTGCGTTAGATCACGTAATGAATGTAATTAGCTTCCCGGAACGCGTGCCATTTGCAGCGGCTGGTGCTCCGTGATATCACCCTCCCCTCCCACGGTGCCTCTCGCGAGCTGATGCTGCGGGCTGCTGCGGGCCGGACGCAGCTGGCGCGGCCGCCGCTCGTTAGGGCCGGGCGGGTGTGATTTAGCCGGGTCATTGGCGCCGACCGGGGCAGCCGCCGACCGGACACCAACGCAGCAGCTGCGGGAGAGACTCAGCGCTGACCTCTCCGGCTGAAACTGAACAGCAGAGAGCCCTCCACGCGACAGGGCCATTGTCCGACTCAGCCGCGAGAAACAAAGAACACCCGGGGAAGGACATGCTGCTTGTGTCACTTGTCTCTGCCGAACGGGCCGGGAGGGGAGAGGGGCAGATCCGTCTGGAGCTGACAGCTCGCTCTCAAGGTGCTAAGGAGCGCTGAGAAGCTCACCGTCGATTGAAATGCAAATGGAAGGGATAAAATTTGAGCTGGGACGCTCAGTAAATAATAGCATTAGACGCGTTGTTTGTGAGTGTCCTCTGATGCATCGCTGTTCTGAACTTTGCCACGCTCTAGCGAGTAGTTCTGCGAAGTGCGGCATCTACAAAGTGGGATAATTTCCTGCGCTCAGGAAAACACCAGGAAGCCTTTTATGTTCCTCGACCGTGAAGGAGGTATTACATTCTACGTGTAGTTGATGACAAATGAAATATTCAGAAGGTTGGAATTGTACAATTTAAGCAGAAATCAAACCATTCCAGTGCAAACAGAAATCTGACTTTAAATTCATTTTTGTCCTCAACGTAGCCTTGTTCAAACTAACTATTCATCTCGCATTGTCAATGCTTAAATTGGTCACCTGCTCTCCTGCTATTGCAGTGCCGACGACTACACACGCGGCTACATGAACAGCAAGGCGATGGTCCATCACAACGGGCGCGTGTTCTGGCCGCCGCCCACCAAGTTTCGGTCCACGTGCGCCGTGGATGTCACCTACTTCCCGTTCGACGACCAGACGTGCATCCTCAAACTGGGCAGCTGGACCTACAACGGCTTCCAGGTGAGGTGCCGCTCGATCAGGATCTCCGCAGTGAGACCGATGACGGCCACTTCCGCGGGCGGGCAGTAGAAGCGCGCGTTGCGGTACAGCCTACCTTCAGGCGCGCGGAGCCAGCGCCATCTATGAACAGTTATATCGATTGCTGGGTTCGCACGCCGTCATAGCATACTGCGGTCAGCATAATTGTAGCTCCACCCATTTATCTTACTTTGTACCTAATGATGTTAATATCAAAATGCACCACTAGCTACAGTAAGGAAAAGTTAATTTTAAGGTCACTTTAGGGTGCTAATGCTATGCAAATTTTCGGTCCTCCGTAATGCAAAACACTTGGAGGTCGGCTTAGGATGCCAGTAATGTGACGATTTCCACATTTCAATGAATTTCTGATGAGGCGCTAACGCCGATGGGGTGCTCTGGGTCAAACACGGCCAAACGGGGCTTTTTAGAAGGAAGGGTAAATTGGTGTTGAGAAAAGTGCAGACTTGAAAAATATATCCTTCAATTTCAAGTTAAATGAGAAACATTTACATTTCTCACTTAAATGGATGCATAACGAAGTTTGATGTATTGGCAAGACTCCAAATAATCAATCTTTTTCAGCTCAACTCATCATCTTTGCTCTAAAGCAAAACACCTCATTGCTGAATGATTGACGTTTTCGTTGAGGCTCGTAATAAGTTCCTTTTTCAAAAGAACGACATCAAACAACAAACAACATCCCTTTCGCGGAGCAAGCTTTTTCTTCAAGCTGGTGCTCAGCTATATTCTGATGCCACCACATCCACTACCATCGTCGATCCTTATCTCTCTGTTCTCCTCATGTGCTTCACCTGCTTTCATTTAGTGACAGTTTGCCCACTTTAATCCAACTGGATGATGCTATTGTGCAGTTCAGCTCCATCGCCGTTTCAATATAAATCCTCTGTCATCTCTGCGTTGGCACTGGACGGCGCCCGACGCTCGACGTCGCTGTGTTAGTTTCAGTGACACAAAAGGTACTTACATTTCTGTCGGTTCAGTGCCGCGCCCATCCAGCGGCTCTGCCGGACCACCACTGTTCGGAATGAGATGGCCCATTGATCTGTCCATGTCGCGATCCTGATAAACGGATCGACCTTGGCCGGACCGTGCCGCCGAATACGCCAGCCGCTGTCTGACGGCCGCCCGGCGTGGACACTGGACAGTGTTGTAACATCTCAGCACGACTCCTCTCTCCCCTCTCTCCGCTCTCTCTCCCTCATCCATTGCAGCAGCAGTCGGCGCCATTAGAGGCGGCCGGCTCTCCGGAAGACTCGCCTCCGCCACACAGGGAGCACAAAGCCGCTTGAATAATATTCTCTGAACGCGTTTTCAAAGGAGACCGATCTGTTTTGCTCTTCAGAGTGAGCGGCCGTTTCCGTTGCTCTGTCTTATTGCTTTTCGCGCAGCAGCAGGCCGTTGCGAAAATATGCTGGCAGCATGATGTGCCGACTTCCGATGAGGCCTGCCTCGCAGTCAATCTGTCCGATCCAAATGATCTCCAGTGCCTTATTCTGCGGAGAAATGTGAAGAAAATGTGCTCTATGAGCCAGCCTTGTATCCAGTGTCACTCAATGATGGATGTTTTTCTCTGCTGATATATTCATAGTGTATTTTCTGAGAATTGGAAATATCAGTGACATTACTTGTCAAGGCGATCTGGGCTACATAATGGCGTGGTCATCTCGTATCTCCTGGCCTGCATGCGCTGTATGACCTCACTCCTGACTCTGAGTAACAATATTTGTTATTTTTTGCATAACAAGCCCTCGCACAATGTCATAATCGAACAAAGCTTATTTTATAAGTTTATGCAGCAAAGCTCCACATCATATTTATTTGCGTCTTTTCTCCTCATGTGACGCTGATGTGTAGTGTGTACGTAAATATTTTCTGGTAACTCTAACTAACTTCGTCGTAACAGCAGCGCATTCGCTAATCAGTAACACCCACGTCTATTGCCGTCACGATACGCTGCGAATCGAACCCCGCTGCCTATTTGCAGTTACAGCTCAGATGGTTGCTCTATATCAACTTGTCGCGCCATTTGCTTGCATGACCTTATACGCTGGCGATTTACTAACGAGCGAACTCAATTTATCAGTGCCGTGACCTATCGAATTTCAGCTAAGTTCGCGGTGAGTCCGTGCTGCCACTGCTGACCCGCTGAGCTTACCCTGAGACACTGGCGCCCTGTGTGTGTGCAGGTGGACGTGACCAACCGAACGGAGCAGGTGGACCTCACCAACTACATCCCCAACGGCGAGTGGGAGCTGCTGGAGGCGCGCATCAACAGAAACGTCGTCTACTACAGGTGAGCTCCGGGCATCGTCTGACACAGACACTGGCCTCAGAGCAGCGCGGGTGGATTCCCCTTCACTGCTGCAGAGAACACGCTGCAGCTAAATCAGAGTTGAAATATCAGCCTGGAAGACCTGCAGGGTTCTGGGAATACCGCGCAAGCTGTCTTAATGCCGGATGTTGTGCTCACGCTTATAACATTTGGATTAGTTCTGGATTAAAATTTAACGTTTAACCAACGAAACTGATGAGCTCGTTTGAGCGTGCCTAATGTATTCTGCAAAGTAAAAAAAAAATGTTGTACGAATAGATCTTTCTTATGTGTCCGTAACTTCAGCTGTCTCTTTGAGCAGTCTGCTACCAACTCATAGTGATATTCATTTTCATCAACGTATATTATATTCTTCAACAAGTCGTTTTTCAAAATGTCTTTTAAAGGGCTTGGTAAAAATATGTCATCTCAGCGTTCAGGTCAATGCCATTACAGAGCGACTAATTTGAAATAGCCACACACAAATAACTTCATGACATTGTAGAATAATTAAAAGTTGTCAACATTCAATTAATGAAGTCACTGAGCCATTAAAGGCAATAAGCTAAAATAAATAAAGAGCATGTTTTTCCGATTTTTGATCGCTGTTCGCTATACAAAGAACTAACAGCATCCCTTGTTTATTGCTTGCTAAGATATATTCGTTTTTGTTGTTCAAAACTCATCCAAGAACTTGTTTGAAATATCCACGTTCTTCTGTTTGAACCTGCAACAGGCGACTCGGCTCATAAATATGTATCCGTTTTGTAAACGGATTTTGTTTTCGCAGGCCAGCACTCACCACTGATGTTTTATCCCGCCAATCCATCAAACATCGAACTCTGCCTTCACTTTCACGGTCGTTCGATATATCACATTTAATGTCTGACTGCGCCATTATCTGAGCTCAGTCTCGATGTTCAGTGTTCCTCCGTTCGTGACACATCTGACGTCACCCGTTCTGACGTCATAGCTGCTGTCCGGAGCCGTTCCCTGACGTCACCATCACTCTAATCATCCGGCGGAAGACGCTGTTCTACATGTACAACATCGTGCTGCCGTGCATGATGATGTCGGTGCTGACGCTGCTGGTGTTCTGCATGCCACCCGAGAGCGGCGAGAAGATCGGCCTCGGCGTCACGGTGCTGCTCGCCTTCAGCGTGTTCATGCTGGCCATCGCCGAGAAGATGCCAGAGACCTCCGACAGCGTTCCGCTCATAGGTGAGTGACTCTGGTCGAACAGACATTATCGTCCCGTTTTCTGTTCTGATTTAATTTGTTTTATTCTATTCCCTTTACGTTTTATTCCGGGGCGGGCCGTTTCCATTGGTGACTGACGGGTTGTTTTCAGAGCCACAAATCGAGATTGAAGATGACAGCCCAGTTAGAGATGCTGACTCGGAGAAATTGATGGTGACCTCGTTCGACGACCATGAATACTTAAACTGGGTCCCTGAGTTCGGAGATCTGGTCTACATCAGTGTTAGTCGAGCGCTTCATTGGGTCGCTGAGTTGCGTCGAGCTACAAATTTTGTAGGTTGCGTCACTGCATCCGTAATTCATTTGTTCACGGGATAACGTTTATGCGGACTCATGTAGTTATTTTCCCGTTCTCTTTCTCCCTCGAAGCCCTGTCTTGAACGCGTGCTGGATATTAACGTTCTTGCTCAGAAGGTCTTGGTCTGATGCTGATCGCCACGGTATTATCCTGTCAGCTTCCAACGCGCTTCGGTGCACAGTCGATCCCAGACTAATGTTGTCGGGGCTTTTGTCGGCTTCGCGCATTGTCGGGCGCAAAACGTAGGAAATAACCTTCAATTCTTTACGCGTGCCCTTCATCATTTTGTCACCTTTACAACATATCGCCTTCAAGCCGAAAACAGCGCTAGCCCTAAATCATCGGAGCGTGGCTGGTTAAAAGCCTCCAACAGAATCTAGTTTTATGGCTGAGTGGAAAATTGATAGGAAAACTATACGGAGGCTGGAGTTGATGGCTGCATTACTTATCTTTGTATCGCGGGCGCGCGGGCACTGTCCAACAGGACAGCAACTCTACATCTCCGGACACAGGGACGCTTTTAGACCCCAGATCACGACACTGGGAACACGGTGTCGCGGCCGGCCGGCCGGGGTCGATCCCGGGCGGCCGGCCGAGCAGTCGGTGACGGCGCCGGCGGCGGTATTTTCTGAGAGCCATCTCCGCCCGGGCCGGCTGAGCGACACAGCCGAGAGATACACGCTGTTGGTGTGACGCTGGCGTCAGACTGGCCGGCAGTTGGGGCCGATGGATGGAGCCACGGCCGGCTGGGCAGGCCGCTGCTGCTGCTGGGAGAGCGGCAGTCGACTGCGCGGCGGCGGCGAACGCCCGAACGGCCGCGGGCAGACGGAACCGTCCCGGCCTGCGAGGCGACAAAAACATGCAGAAACAGTTGAGCTACGCGGCATTGTGTGCTTATAAAATGGTGTGACAATATCAATAACATTCTTAAACATTACGATAATGACACATTACATCCACTTGAAAAAATCAACTAGTAACATATTTCAACTTACATTCTCCTGGTTTTATATGAAAGAAACGTTTTTGTCTTTGCGTTGATCTCGGGAAAAATAACACTTCCCGTCTTTCAGTAAATGTCGACGTCGGGCGTCTTTATGCCTTTTGGAGCGCGGTCTGTCGGGCGTCAGAGATTATGGCGTCCAACTTCCCAGTCGCCTATAACTGTCGACAGTCTGAACTGCTACCGATCGCGCAAGTATCCACTAACTCCAACGGCTCCTTTGGCTAGAATTATTACCAAAGTTTGTAGGCCAAGTGGGCCCCTCGCGCCAGCCTCCGCCGCGGCGCCTTCCTCCATAGTCCTGATTTCCAATCGTGTTCGTCAGCCTACGCTGCGCCTCATTTGTGTCCAGATGGTAGACCAATGCGCCGTTAAATCATCGCGTAATCAGTACCGATGCATCATCTGGCACCGTGACTCACGGATCTCATGGTCGATGAGATAGGGCTCATGAATGTCTGAGCGGGTGGCCGCTCTGATCGGAGCTGGGTCGGCCGCTGCAGCTCAGTGGTCCGCCCATGGTGTTCAGCGCCACGGCACAGGGTCAGTTTCAGGGCTAACTATAGAAATGGTGCCGTGAGAGTCGTCCCGCGAAGCAGTCCACTCCACCCAGATCGTTCAAACATGCTTAAAATTCCCATCGTGATCGTTCGGGGTAAGCCAAGCTTTTGGGGCAGATCCGGGAAATCCACGGAATGGCTGCTGGGATTTTGTTCAGTTCTATAGGTTCGCAGTATCGCATATCGGGTATGTTCAATGTGGCATGTCTCTCACATATAAGTATGTTCCGTTCCGGGATGGCTACGCCTGCGCGACGTCTTTAATTTCTCTCATAGTTGAGGTACAGCGTACGAAAATGAGAGCCGAGAAAAGTGCCATCACTTGACGATCCAGATAGGGCCCGAACTGATCTGGGAGCAAGGCCATTAGAGAAAGTCGCCGGAATATGAGCACACAATTAATGCCATAGTTATGTAATTTTGTGTCATCATGATTCATGACAGGAATCCCAGAAGGTATAGAGAATGTGATTGGACATGCCTCTTTAGTTACTTAACCCGCGCGGGGCTGGGGTCTCCAGCCGAACGCGCGGGGCTGGGGGGGGGGGGGGTAAATTTTACCCCCCCTGTTATCTCCCGAACTAATGGTCCGATTTGGAAAATTCAAGCGCCATTCGAAAGATCTCATCACGAACAACTAAAAACATATACTTAATTTTAAGTTTGAGGTCAAGGTCAAGGTCAGGTCAAGGGTACAAATTGCAAGTTCCTACAGTATCGGCCTTGCACCGTAGTTGCCGAAGAATGGAGTCATGGACTGAGACTGATCGCCCAAAACGTGTTCTTAGGCTACCAAGACAATATTCGTTGCATACAATATCATTCAGAGGTCAAGGTCAAGGTCAGGTCAGGTCAGGTCAGGTCACCAAAAACAAAATATAGAAAAGGGCATGTGCGACACATGTTTTATGGGTCATTTTACTCATAGAATTCAATAGGCACACTCAATAAGTGATATGGACCACCTCTGGATGAATTTCAGGTCGAGGTCAGGTCAAGGTCAGGTCAAGTGAGGTCAAATTTTGAAGTTGGTTGCTAAGGCCTAAAAAGGTGTCTATCTGATGCAGTTTTTCACGGCGAGTCGAATGGTGCTATTTAGTATTTTTGTTTCCGTACGAGGTCCAGAACTTCCAAAAAAGTCATTTTTCAATTTTTTTGTGTGTCGTGACGTCATACAATTTTGAATAACTCCCACATTTTTGAACCGATTCTTCTAAAACTTCGTATGTAGGTACACATAGACCACTTCTCTGACATATATTCCGGTTTTTTCGATACACTCAAAATTTTGGATTTTATAGCTATTTTCCCAAAAAAGTCAGTTTTTTTGGAAAAATTTGGGCCAAAATCCAAACTTTTCAAAAAACCGAGATAGCCATTTGATAGACAAAGTAGAATTACGTATATCCTTTTTTGTTACGTCTTGATTCCTTTAAAAATGAAGATGTTAGCGGTGTTTGAACGTTTGCCGTTTTTGAGGCGAAAATGGCGAACATGACGTCACTAAAACGTCAATTTCTCAAAAAATTTCCGACGGATTTCGCTCAAATTTTCAGGGAACGTGTCAAATTGATGTAAGAAAAGGTACGTTTTTGAGATATTGCAAAAATTCGCGAGGGGGGGGGTAAAATTTACCCCCCAGCCCCGCGCGGGTTAAATCATTTTGGTGTCAATATATGCCAATAACCTCGGGTTGCTTGCTACACGCTATGCCATTTCATTCCTAGGATATCGATCGATGTGATAAAAACCATAAAATGGGGACCAGCAAAACGACAGGCTTTGAAAATGCGACAGCTACGTTCAATGCACGGCTCGCACAATATCCAATTTTTTGGCGTTAATTTAGTCTATCAGGAGTTGACGGTGCTATCCTTCAGAACTTGTATCAACAGTAAAGTTCCTACCTTGAGCTGCCTATCCGGACTGGTTAAGCTGTTTAGGTTAAAATATTCATGCATCATGTCGTCTCACTTTGGTATTGTGCAATGCTCATGTTCCAGGGCCCGGCACTGTCGGGTGCTGTTATTTATATGAGTCGATGCGAATAGGATGCTCAGATATCCTGTTTCATCCGCATCCTGTTCTTGGTCATGTTCCATAATTATATCGTTGTAAGGTCTTACAATCTTGTGCGAATAAGTAACATATAACTTTGAAGTGACTACGTCTTTGTTGTGTTCTAAGCCGATTGCACTTTCACGCTATCGTAGAAAGGGCTCCGATGAATAGCCCAACGTCCTTTGATTATTACATGCTCTCGCGATATGCCAAAAGTGGGTGTCGAGTCGTATTTTAGATCAAATTACCCTTCACGTAAAGGGAGCCACAAACCAAAATAAATTGAATCTAGGTGGTGGGAGGTAGTGTCCTTAACCCTCGCATGTGTGCAGCGTTTGCCAGCTTCTAACGTGTAGGGGGAAGGGGGGTCGGTTGGACACCGCTTGCCGTTTGGCCCCTGATGGACGTAGAGCTTCGCGGAAAAACGAGCGTGTTGCCCGTGACGAGAGAAAGCCGATGATACCCAATGTAAAGGTCCTAGGTCATTGGTTGACCTTCCAGGTCAGGCCAATGAAAGTCGTAAAGTGTGGCTGCTATGGGGTTTTTCGGGGTGCTGATCACGAATATCGTGTTATTTTTATCACAGATGATGTCTTTAAGTATTTAGACCAGGTCGGGTCAGGTCAGGTCAGGTCAACCGGTAGGGGTTGTGACGGGTATTCGTAATACGTGTCAACCGCCTCTGACAGCTTCGTAACATGTTACGAAGGCACCAAAACTACTTCGGAAATGTTCAAATGGTTTCTAAATTCAAATTCAGCTCCAAAAACTAGCTTAGAAACATGTAAAGCTGGAAAAAGTGAACCGAGGTCACCAAAGGTCAATGACCTGACCTGACCTTCAGGTGATCTTGACATCCACCTTATTGCATGGGAGCAACATCAAATCACATGTTTGAACGTTTGAAACCACGAAAAGCTTGCAAATGCGCGGCTAATGCGAGCCGATATACGCCGAATCTCGATTCCGGCCAAACATGGCCTCGAGAAATAGGTCACAGGTCAACGGTCACTTGGGCCAGGGTCATGAAATTTTCAGAGTAAGTGTAAAATTGATTTACTCGAGAGTACTGAAAGTTTCGTTGCGATCGGCCGCTTTTTGCGCGAGTTATTTGCGAAAAAACATGGGGGATCCATCCGACCCTCCCTACACATGAGAGGGTTAATATAACACCTGCCACCATTTTATTCTGCCAAATTTATCTTACTGGAGGTTAGAATCGTCAACTCGGTGCCCTTCCTCCCGCCTCCCGGCTGAGGCTCGGCGGCGATATTACCAAAGTTGTATAAGCCACGGAGGTCTTTACTAAAACCGTGTCGACAGCGCAGTTTTCTCCTAGACCATTGCGAGAAGTGAACCGCAGAACAGTGTTATTTCGCCGGGTCCCACGGTGTTTCAGCCGACGAAGCTTAGTAAAGCCAAATGGTCCAGTGGTCTAAAAATATTACCTTGTTTAGCACGTGGTCGCAAAAAAACGAAACCCGTCATATAGGAAAAGAGCATTATTTTGTAAGTGATAATTAACTTAGAGAACCTAGGTATGTGACATTTTGAAATGGAATGCTAAATTCGATGCTTTTGAATTCGAAATTCGTTATTGAATTAGTGATCACACGACACACCCATCGACACAAGCACCATTTCGTTGCCTCTGCCATAGCTTGTACACTTATGAAATATTTTAAAGCAATTTGATTTCTACTGTGGGCTCGGATTAGTCATAAATACCTACATGTGTGCCGTTACGGTTGACAAATCACTGGCTAGGGAAATTTAACTCACATTGGGCTCATGAGATTTCATGTCGTGCGGGAAATTTATATGTGTCGTATTTTACTGCCAAGTTTGTATTTATATTGCCAATTTCTTCACCATTTCTGAAACTAACTTTGATTGCTCTCGAACTTGGCCTCTAAATACCATTTTACTGCAGAATTTCCCACCAGACTAACTATGATAAATTCAATCGCAAAAATCGGAAACGTTCCTGTGTCGGCGCTATTGTGCTCAGAAATAACTAGAGCTGCTGATGCCCATTTGACCTTCAGTCGTGACAGATTTTACTGTCAAGCATTGTAAACCGATATCCGATGGAACCTCTGACGCTCACAAGCACACTGATCGGTGGACCTCGAAATGCGGGCTTTGATTCACTGTCAGCGTCATAAAACATCCACGAGGGTCGCGAGGACGCCACATCGCGCGTCACTGGTCGTAACTGGTGGGGTTACGGCCCATCTGAGGGAATAGAGACGTGTCCGTGCCGCCACCGTCAGCAGCGGGGTGTGGGGGAAGGGGGGGGGGTCTGACCGGGTCGGCGGGGTCATTAATGGATGTGGCGCGGGCGGCGACCGACCGAAGACCAGGGCGGGCACGGGTTAGGGGGTAGTTAGACACGGGTCAGGGAGTAGCGGGAGACGAGTCACGGGACAACGACACGGGTCAGGGGTCAGACACGGGTCAGAAAGTGGAGGAAGACGGGTCACGGGACAACGACACGGGTCAGGGGGTAGTTATACACCGGTCAGGGGTAACGACACGGGTCAGGGGGTAACGACACGGGACAGGGGGTAGTTATACACCGGTCAGGGGGTAACGACACGGGTCACGGGGTGGTCTTGACACGGGTCAGAGAGTGGCGGGAGACGGGTCACGGGACAACGGGTCAAGCAGGGAATGGTTAGATAAACATCAGAGTGGATTGGGGACACCAGCTTTGGCTTCCAAATGAAGTACTAAAACTTTTTTTGCTTGTATAGAATTGTAACAATGCTAAGACATTGCCGCGATACAGAGTATATTTATGAAAGCCAAGCATCGAACATTTTAGCGATATTTTTACCTGATATTTAATTTGCTCTTCTCGCCATTCATGTGCTTTGTGCATCGGATGCCTGCAGATGGCCGCTTAATGGCACATTCTATAGGCCAATGAAATACATGAGCAATGAACATACCAGTTCAGCCAATAGGCGTTCCACTCTTTTGAATCATTGAGACAAATGCGGTGAGATATCACTTCCATAACTTTGCCTCCGACAACCTATATCGAAAGCTCATTCAGCGGCGCTGGACATCCAGCATACGGTCCTGTGTCAATCCCAATAGCCTGATGTTTGGATGGCTGTTTAAATTTCTGTCATCCAATTAAATTTATTTATTAGCTGTCAGGAGCCGTATCGAAGCCAGAGACTGGCTGTCACTATATCTTGGAATGGGATGAAGAATGGTCGAACTGGGCAGTTTCGCAGATAGTTTTCGCATTTTGTTGAATTACGAGCTCAAAGGTGGCTCATATCAGGCATAGAATAGCAAACAAAGAGACGTCATATAAAAATATTAAGTCTCGACAATCTACAATGTAAAACGTGCCAATATAGCACTCTATTGAAATGTCCAACTGAACATGCTGTCGGAACCTCTTGCGTCCATGAGTATCCGTTTGCTACACAAAGCGCTGCAACTTCTGCGGGTTAGTCTTTCATTCCTAAGTAATGCAGACTTCACCAGCAATTAAAGCTTCGACCATAAATAGCATGAATCATGTTATCTATATTTCGACTGATAAAATATCTTTACATCTTGATGTCGAAATAATCAACAATATGTGTGTGTTTTATAAATGCTGCTTCTTGCCATGGGCATTAAGAAGAATTTCGTACTTATTTTTGTATACGTCTAATCCTCGCACATACTACACCACCACCATCACCGCTGCGATGCCACGTACCCTGACCCAGTGACTGCGTGTGCCATTGGCCGAGCTGAGCTCTGTCGCCTATGGCACGGGACGTGTCCAAATAGGCGCCAGCATTTCCGGCTCTACCTACATCGACATGCGTGACTTTGATGCTGGTATTGCGACTGGGTTTATTGAAAACCAGTCTCAGGGAACGGTCGCTTATTGTGACAGTGGGAATGGACGGATATTAAAAGGGAATAAAAGGAACGTTCATTTAGGAAGAGTCATTGACTCACCTACTTGTTCCATATGCCGATGGTATAAATGCTCTCTAAATTGCATCGTTCAATAGCAGTGCCTTATTCTTTTTTTTCGTTTCTCTGACTTATAGCAGTTTTTGTGGACTACACACCACATTACTTTTTTGGCAGTCATCGTCGTAGAGGAATCGATTGGGATCTCCCCACTCCTCAGTCTCAATTGACATTTGCTTTAAAACTTATTAACATCGTCGTGAACTCGTGGCCATGTGTCGCTCAGCCTATTGAACCTGTTGAATTGATATTCCCTGCACCAGTGGCCGTCGCCTGCAGCCCGTGCTCGCTGAGCTGACTCCCTCCGCTGCTCGCTGAGCTGACTCCCTCCGCTGCTCGCTGAGCTGACTCCCTCCGCTGCTCGCTGAGCTGACTCCCTCCGCTGCTCGCCGGCAGGGATCTACCTGACGGCTGTGATGGCCATCACCAGCGTGTCCATCATCATGACCGTGGTGGTGCTGAACCTGCACTACCGCGGGCCCGGCAAAAAGGAGGTGCCCCACTGGATGCGCCGACTCGTGCTTGGAAGGTGGGTGTAGAGTCGGGCTTGTCCCGGAGATTCGCCGGACTCCGACGCCGGGAATCCAACCCGGCTCCGTCTGAACCCCAAACGGATGGCTTGCCAACTGCCCCACCAGTTCTGTCAACTGCGGATAGCACTCTCATACCTGCCTTATACATGACTTAACATCCAGTCTCTCTGCTAAAATGCAGCGTACACTCAACCCGGTCGCTGATATGGCCGCCTTTCAGCTCGTACTTTTCATGACGCCGCCGAACTATCCTCCGGAGGCGGTGGAGAACTCTCGTGCTCGGCCTATGAACTATGAAGACAATGAGGACGGCCTCCGCTGGTAGCACTTGACGAGAACTGACAGAGGTCGTTTCTCTGATACAGGGGAAAATCAAATGACAGCATTGTCGGCGGCCCGCTCCATAGACAGGGTCTCCTCCCATTCTGAAAGGGAAAGAGCAAAGAGGCCTGTGCTTTGTTATTGAGAGCATGAGAGCGAAAAGGGGAGAGGAACAGGGAGAGAGGGGATGAAATTAATTCAAAGAACGATGCAAATATGTTGATAAAATTGTTAGGACTTCAGGGACGCATTTTTTTGACATCATGTAACTTCCTTCTTTAAACTTTAAAGGAGATAGTCTAAGTTATTATCTACTAAATCCATAAGACCTGTCTGGGAGCAGCTGCACGTTGGTAACAAACTGAGCCATAAGGAGATTGCCACCAGAGACAATAGTGTATGGGAACAGCGGCCAAGGTGGTGTGCTGTAATGTGACAAGGGACGGATTTAATTAAATGTTCCGTTTTGGACGCTCAAACAGCGCGCACCCTTATTAATATCCACGACTGCCTCTGTTGCAGGCGCCATGTCGAAATAAGTGGAAAGGTCTAACATGTAAAGTTATAGCGAATGTTGTTTGAGCTTCAATGTGCATCATTATATTGCGGTTCCCTACTGTTTTTGCAGAGGCTATAAGAAATGTTGCTCCGTCCACTGGCGGATCCAGGGGGGGGGCCACGGGGGCCATGGCCCCCCAAAGGCCTAAAGTGGCCTGTTTGGCCCCCCCCCCAAAACGTCAGAAAAATTGCTAAGAAAATATACCTTGATAGAGGTTTTTAGCCACTTGGTGAAGCAAACCTTTCCACAGCATAATATGGAAGTAATATGGTAGCAGTGAGGGTCAGTCAAAAGTTGCGCGAGCGGAGTCGACCTTCAAAAAAAGACTGTTGTTGGCACGTGTTTATGGCGCGGCAGCTGGTAGTTGGCGGTGTTTCGCGTGGTGTGGCATCACTGGCGGATCCGGGGGGGGGGGGGGGGGGCACGGGAGCCTGAGGTGCCCCTGACAGGCCCGTGGTGCCCTTGCTAGGCCTGTGGTGCCCCTGGACCCTGGCAGGCCTGTGGTGCCTCTGACGGGCCTAGGGTGCCCCTGCTAGGCTGCTGATGCCCCTGGGACCTGACAGGACTGTGGTGCCCCTGACAAGCCTAAAGTGCCCCCAACAGGCCCGTGATGCCCCCGACAGGCCCAAGGTGCCCCTGCGTGATGCCGTGATGCCTGCGAGGCCGGTGTGCGAGGCCGGTGGGGCCCCTGACAGGCCCATGGTGCCCCTGCTAGACCGGTGGTGCCCCTGGCAGGCCTGTGGTGCCCCTGCTAGGCCGCTGGTGCCCCTGGGCCCTGACAGGACTGTGGTGCCCCTGACAGGCCCAAGGTGCCCCTGCAAGGCCGGTGGTGCCCCTGTAAGGCCTGTGGTACCCCTGCTAGGCCTCTGGTGCCCCTGACTGGTCCATGGTGCCCCTGCGAGGCCGGCGGCGCCCCTGGCAGGTCTCTGGTGTCTCTGACAGACCTGGGGTGCCCCTGACAAGCCTGTGGGCCCCTCACAGGCCCGTGGTGCCCTTGCTAGGCCTGTGGTGCCCCTGGCGGGCTGGTGGTGTCCCTGCTAGGCCGGTGGTGCCCCTGACAGGCCTGTGGTTCCCCCGGGCGTACCAAGGGGGGGGGGGTCATGACCCATGTGGCCCCCCTTGGATCAACCACTGATACATAATATATTGATTTGTGAAGGCGTTATGGCTTATGCAATATGCAATTGCAGGCACTTGGTATCCCTCACTTATCCCTCATTGGGGGCTCTGGCGGGCTCCTGAGGGCCCACGTCTATCTCCGGGAGCCCTAGACAGGCTCCTTTGGGTCCTTTCAGTCCACTATAGCATAAGAGGTCTCCATGCGAGTCCTATACATCTGAGGGCGTACCCTGACGTGTGAGGTACCCAACTGCAGCTCCAATGGTCTCTTACACTGGCGGATCCAGGGAGGGGGCATTTAGGGCCATGCCCCCTTCCCGGAGGCCTAAAGTGGCCCGTTTGCCCCCTCCCCCAAACGATAACGAAACATAGTTCAATCAGTGCGTGGCCCAGGAGCCGAGTTAGACAGGGGGTGTTTTACCACCTCCCGGCCCGCAAAGGGACCCAAGCACTGACTGGAAGCGGGTTAACTGGTCGACAAAAGCAATGGTAAGTGTTTACAAAGTAATATAAAGGCATGGGTCGGGTGGGCTACCATTTATATATTTTTCTTTTTAGTTAAAAAAAATCATAGTGTCAGGGCTGTGACGAAAAATAAGTGGCCTAAATCCGATGGCAAAACAGGATTTGGGGGTACCTTAGGTTTTGTTCCTGCATGAGTTGCCCCCCCCCCAAAAAAAAAACGCAAGCCTGGATCCGCCAGTGGCTCCGTCGACACCTACATTTCTAGACATAATTATTTGAAAACCCCATTATTTCTTTAAAAAAAAATGCTTTTTGAAAAATCCATAAGTGTGTGTTTGCTTTCATAAACACGCATCATGACGCATAAGATAGGCATAAAGAACGCATTAGCTGCATAAGTCCTGATATTCGAATATTCTTTTATGCATTTGTGTTCGCCCATCTGCATGTTGAACCGCCCCAACCGCGCGTCGTCAGTGTGTCTGTTTTTGGCACTGCTATTATCCTCAGAGCCAACTCCCCTCATTTATCTTAACTTCCACTTCATTTGCGCCGCCGCATTTCATGAAATTGTTTCGCTGATTGCGGTCAGCTCCTCGCTTAACTCGGCCCAAGGTCGACCTCTGATTAGAGGCTTGTGCTGCCTGCACTGAGTAAATGCGCTTTATACGCCTATTTCTAAAGACGATTGTCTTTGTCTCTGCCTTCCACCGGACGGACTGTCTTTCCGTCGTTACTTTGTATTCTTCCTTGGTTATAGATAACTGATAAGCTAGAGATGCTGTTTGTTGTTTGATTCACGAATAACGTGACGCTCACCGCGCCCAAATACCGCTAGTGTCGTGCGGCACAGTATGTCTTCAGGCGCTCGACTCCCCTGCCATCTATCGGCAGCTAGACACTCGAATACCGCTAGTGTCGTGCGGCACAGTATATCTCCGGGCGCTCGACTTCCCTGCCATCTATCGGCAGCTTGACATTCTAATACCACTGGCGTCGTGCGGCACAGTATATCTTCAGGCGCTCGACTCCCCTGCCATCTATCGGCAGCTTGACATTCTAATACCACTGCTTTGGTTTTCCCCATTTAACGCCACATTTGGCAGCTCTAAACCAGAAAATTCAAAGATTTTAATTTACGTCATCAAAAATTGATGACGTAAATTTTTTCAATGCTATTTGATGTAATAAGTGCACTGACAAATTTAGAGCCTCATCGGAAGTGATGCCCTAAATTTTTTTGGGCCATCATTATAATTTCTAACAATTTCTAACACTCTGACGAAACTCCATTTTAAAATCGATGGCAGCCTGCCACATGTCAAGTAAATCTTTGAAAACCTCTTTTAGCGCAACAAGATATGGCAGCATTGCCTTCATGCAAAGAACTTCCCTTGACTCGGCCGCAATTATTTGACTTTCTGCGCAGGCTCCTCTGGATGTTACGAATATACTATCCTTTGAATAAAAAGTTTAAATGACGTCACATGTACCATTGGCGCGGGAACCGGGGGGGGGGGCAGTGGGGGCAGCTTGCCCTCCCCCTAACTCTGGGGCCGTGGGGGCGGTGCCCCCACAACTTTGAGACGGAAAACCGCACTTTTTTGCAAATGTTTTCTTTTTTTGTTGAAAAAGCCAAGGGATGAAAAATAAGTGGCCTAAAACCGGTGAGAAAACTAGATTTGGGGGTACCCCAGGTTGATCTCTATTACGGTGTGCCCCCCCCCCCCCAGTCTGAAAGTAGTTCCCGCGCCCCTGCATGTGACGTCATGTTGCATATCAGTGGATCGCGGAAAACCGCAGGGGATGTTCAACCCCCCCCCGTCCCCCAGCAGGACGCGGGTTAATGAAAAAGCGGACAGGATTCGGACGCGTCTGCCCCCGTGCCGCTACAAACCAAGGCCCTACAAAGTAATCGTGTCGAGGGGCTCCGTCCAGGAGCTTGGTTGTCATGGAAACGACGCTTTGAATAAAGTCCTTCATCGCCGTAAAGTTTTCTTTTGTGATGCCCTAAACGCAAAACTCAAAATCTCGTGGAGGTGTGGCCCTAAAAAATGCGGCCCTAAAGTTGTGGGGCTAAATTAAAACAGCTCGAGCGATGATGGTCTAAACTTCTAAAACGGATATGTATGGCGTCGTGCGGCACAGTATATCTTCAGGCGCTCGTCTCCCCTGCCATCTATCGGTAGCTTGACATTCTTGTACCGCTGGTGTCGTGCGGCACAGTGTATCTCCAGGCGATCGACTGTGCTTCCTAGTAACGCTTCGGCCTTGCGAGAAGATTGTGTTTGTCAGGGTGTGCTAGCGTTTTCGAACAAAAACATCAAAGCGTTATGGGCTTTATGTAAGCACCATCACAATACACACACACTTCACGGGACTGTGTGCTAGACATGCGCACCGATCGAAACGTTGTTCTGTAAGCTCAGTGGATTTAACGACTAAAGCTGCAGGTACGGGGACCCGCAGTTGCTACTGTACAGCAACCCTGAGTAAATTGTCCCAGCACCTTCACAGGGAACAACGATAAGCTGTCAGAGGGCACGCACAGAAAACCTCAGCTGCTGTTGTACAGGGACCGGCAGTCGATATCAATGTTATCGGTTGTTACTGGACAGGACAGACGGCTAGAGTTGGGGTTCGTGTACAGAAGCAACTGCGGCCTGCGGGTCCCCGTACCTATAGGTATATGAATGATGATCCCATGACATCCCACGAGCCACGAGGAAAATGTGTTTGATCCAGAATTTACGGATCTATGTACATTACATAGTATCAAGTCCAGAACAGTGGTAGGCTTATATGTTTGGTGTGTAGTTAGGCTATGATCACATAAATCCGCGGGCTTACGTATGCTGACGCGTGCATACATCGAGGCGATTACAGATAAACCATATTTAATGCAATTAAATGTTTGAATCTTCCTCTTGCTGCATCTTATTCGCCATCCTCTATGCCTCCTGCATTCAGTCCACGTCTTGTGTAACAAGCCCATCAGTGTACCCCACAGCTGTTGCATCCTGACCTGCCCGTCTGCCTCCGTCCGTCGGCCTGCCCTGCCAGACGGGGGCTGGGGCAGCCGTCCCGCCGCCGGGCTGTCAGCTGAGACCGCCGCCGGCTAAAAGCTTTCGGCCGGCATCGTCCGGCCGGCGCAGTGGGATGGCGGGCCGCGGCCGGCGCGCTCGGCTGCCCGCTTTGTCCCGCCGCGTGCCGGCTCCTCTATCACCGCAGTCTCCGGTGGGGTGCGGCCGCCCCAGCGCGGCGGGCCATCACCACTGTCGGTCCTAGCGAGGAGTTCAGAGGTCACGTATCTCAAACTACAGACCATTTAACGGGTAATTCTTGAATGCATGAGCAACGACGTCGGTATTTCACAGTGACTCGCGCTGGACTGGGAGTTTTTGGTCTTCCTTGCGCCTTGAACGACGAACAACGAACGCCTACTTCTGCTCTTTTTCTATATATGGACATGCGGCGAGGAGCAGCAGGCGCAGGCGGAGTTCATATTTCTAAGATGCATGCAAGGCTCGTGTACCTACCTTTTCCTTTTCAATTGTCCGAGCTTCAGTTCGAGCTTTATGCCTAAAACGTGAAAATTAAGACTTAAAGGAAACTTTAATGTCTGAAATACTTTTTACTGCGCAACCAGGGCTGCGGGATCGATTGATTTTCGGTGACTCGGGCTTTAACTCCGACCCCGGCTTCCTAAAATCGACTCCGACTCCGACTCCGGTAAAACTGTCGACCCCGACGGACTCCGACTCAGATTTTGACTCCGGAACCAACTCCGACTCCGACTCCGCAGTTCTGCGTAAAACTATGATATCGGGAGTGTCATTGTGCTGCTAGTCACGTCGTTACTGTCTAATGATGTAATACGAAACCTGTGTACCGTCTCGTGCGGCTGCCGTCCGAGGTCCCTGCGACCTTTGGCTCCCCGTGGACGCCGCTCCGCCCTATACGTTGTCCCGAGGGCCAGCCATTGACGGAATCTGGCCCCGCCATCCTACGTTAATCCCGCACGTCTCGTGTGCTCGCCTCTGGCGCGCTTTTTCGACGTTGGCGCGCCATCGCGTGATCTCTCAGCTGTCAGCGGATAATGAGCCGTCCTCGGCCGAGAAAGCCGAGTGTGAATTCCCGCCCCGCGGCAAACTTATTGCACGCTCCTGTGTCACGATTGAATGGAGGAGAGACGGACTACGGAGCTCTGGAAACGCCCCTGCTGTTTGTCGGTGTGTTTGTTTGCTGTGTATGCCTTATGCAGCTTTGTTAGGTTCTTTCCCTGTGCTCATAAGGGGGATACAAGTACGAATGAGTGTAGCAAATGCGCTTGATTTGCAATGCAAATAAGTGCAATCTTGTAACAGAAATTGATCGTCTTTCTCATAACCTTCCATTCTCGGCAGGACGACGTCTCGCAGGCGGCGCTCCGAGTCGAGCTCGCAGAAGTGCGCCGGCTGCTACCGTCGGCGCGGCTTTCCAGGCGGCGACGCGCACCTGGCCGACCACCCGCCGCTGCTGCCGGCCTACAGTCCCGGCAACGGCACCGCCTTCACCGCCGCCAGCGCCGCTTACAGCAAGCCGGAGGCTGTCCGGCTGGCCGTCGACACGCTTCCCGGCGCGCCGCCGCCGGCCGCCGAGCCGGCGCCCGCCAGCGACGCCAGCGACTCGGCCGGCTCGCCGGCGCACCAGCTGCTGCGCGAGCTGGGCCGGCCGCGGGGCCGGCGGGGCGCCGTGCGCGGCCGGCCCGCCGCCGCGCCGCTGCAGGAGGAGGTGGGCCGCGCGCTGCGCCACCTGCTCAGCCGCCAGCAGACCGAGGAGCACTGCGGCCGCGCCGCCGACGAGTGGCGCCAGGTGGCGCTGCTGGCCGACCACACGCTCTTCTGGGTGTTCCTGGTCATCACCACCGTGTCCAGCCTCTTGTTCCTGGTCGTGCTGCCCGTCTACAAGCGCAGCCAGTATCAGCGGCCCGACTGAGCGGCCGACGAAGACTCGCAGAACGGACATTGACCTGCAGACTGAGGTCTGCAGCGATCGTGAGATAACTGTCGACATCGGCGAGAGGAGGTGTAAAAACACGCCATGAAGAAACAAAGTCACTCGTTGCCGTTTTGTAAGACGTACATACGGCATCCCGGTTGTTTGACATAAGACGACGTTGTCCCGTGGCCGAATGGGATAGTGTCTCATTTCCATTTTGTCGCATTAGAACCGAATGGAGAATGAGAAATGTGCTGCCTACCAGCCAGCCACTAGCCAGTGGTTGTCATTGCTGACATCAATGCTTGTGAACGCGGTGATGCCTGCCCTGCCGAGTGACCAATGATGCTGAGGGATTGGTGTCACCAGTGACGTTGAGAAGTTGGTGGCAGTGACTTGCTGGACTGGTAACGATTACCCTGAGGGACTGGTAATGCCGGTGAACCTAGAGCTTGTTAAAGTCGGCGAGTCGAGGGACTGGTGACGCCGGCTACCTGAGAGATTGGTAAAGACGGTGAGCTCGAGTGACTTGTAACGCCGGCGATCTGAGGAACTGGGAACGATGACTCTGAGGGACTCGTCAGGCCGGTGACCCGAGGGACTGGTGACGCCGGCGATCTTGAGGGACCGGTGACCGATGTGCGCAGTAGAGGCTGAGAGTGTGTTCGGAGATGGTGGTGGGATGGATGTGATATGGCTAGTGGTTTTGCAGGAGCTCATTGAATGCAGACGGTGGTATAGTCGAGGAGTGAGAGAGAGGTCATGCGTCATTAACTCATGGGAACTTATTTTTGTTTGCTCGGCTCTCCTTCATGGTGATAAGCGCACGCCGTGAAAGGGACGGCAAACAACTATAGCCGTGGCTGGGCTTTTAGTAGAGACATCGCATCGCGTTCGCCGACTAGCGTACAGGGAAAGATTCTGAAACGTTACCGAAGGACACTAACGCATATGAACAAGGATAACATTTGTGCTATAAGATCCGCTGCCAAAAACAAGTTTATTAGGCATCCAGCTGGTAAACATGCAGGTACGATTGTATTGGCCGTGGCTCGTGTGCGATAATTTTCTGAGACTGACATTGGAAAATGTCCGTTGTGTTTTGAGTGACGTTTGCTGAATTGTAGATGCCTATTGTTCGTTGTCGTAAGTTGTCGTTGTAGTAAGTTACGTCAGGTCATCTGACATCTAGTCATCTCGCATCATCTATGAAATATTATTTGCTATTCTATAATAGTAACGATGCTGATAATAAAACGTTCAAACAATTTAAGTACAGGGAATGCTATGAACAATCAGCGCTATGGTCTGGATATTAACCCTCGCCGGCCGAGGGGGGGGGGCTTGTGCCTCCCCCATAGGGTTTTTTTCGCGATAGCTCCGAACACGCTGGCGATAGAGAGCTGAAACTTGGCATACCTGACCTTTGATTCAAGCCGGATGTTTGACATCAACCGCATTTTCGAGTCAGGTCAGGTCACTGACCTATGACGTCATAAGTGAACCTCTGCACGGTCTTCAGATGTCGCAACTTCGCAACGCCCTCACTGCCAGAGGAGATGTCACAGGGAAATGAAACTTGCAGGATCTAGTATCCATTACGAGTCTCACAACTTGTATACCTCGGATTTTTCGTAAACGTCATATGAGGTCAGGTCATTTTCGTGACCTCACCATTATAAGTCAATAAGGAAAAATGAAAACTGCTATTCTGGCGCCGGCAACGATCTCTAACTATCTCAAGCACATAGAATCGTGATTTGATGCACTCCTTGCAAGGTTAGATGCGTCATTTTTTCAATGTTGACCTTGCGTGACGTCATTTATGACGTCATCAAGGTCATATTAGTTTTTCGTCAATAACTCCCGGTCGAATTGAGCTAGCGAGTCGGAAAAGCCACCAATGGACTCAGGAAGACCTGCCGAATGGAACGATATGCGACATGACCTCTTTCGACCAGCTTCGTGACCTGGGGGCGCTGACCTGACCGTGACCTGAGGTCAACACCCAAAGTTGATCTGACCCAAACAAAAAGTATATCATTCGACGCGCCTGAGCGAGGCGAACACGATGCTGCCAAAATCGCGGCTCTGCGGCCGTTTTTTGCGAAGTTATTCACCAAAAACTGAACCGTACCTTGACCGTACCTTGGGGCATTTGACCTGACCTCAGAGGTCACCGGTTCACCTAGGACCTTAAAATCGGGTACCAATCTCTGTGTCTCGTAACGGCGCACACGCTCGTTTTTTCCGCGACGCGCTAGCTCCACCAGGAGCGAAACGGCAAGGGGGGTCGTACCCGCCCCCCCCCCCCCCCCCGCCCCTCGGCCGGCGCGTATGTAGAAAACCAATAGGTCCGGCTAGGGTCAAACGTTAAATTTTACGGCCTTGACCCATACAAACAACCGCAAGGGCTTATACCTAGCATAGGTGGCGGAACGGGGAGGGCACCGGACACCGTGCCCCCCTTTGATTTTGGCATTTTAACATTAGCCCAGTGGGCGTTGCATGTAAAGAATGGGGCCAAAAGTCGGCAGTGCCCCCCCTTAATTGAAGGTGTTCCGCCGCTACTGATACCTAGATTACTTTACTTTGGGTGAGGGAGGGGGGGGGGGGGTAGGCCCTAGAGATGTCAATCGGATACCAACTTTTTGGTATACCGATACCAAACCGATATCAACCTGGTATTTGGTATTTCAATCGTAATGTGTTTGGTATTTTGTTGGTAGGTATCATAAACCCTCACTAACCCGGCCGGGCCCGGGGGGTAATCCCAACCACCGCAGCCCGGGGGGGGGGGGCGTTTTTCGCCCCCCCCTGTCTAACTCCGTAAATAAGGGAGCTACGGAAACAAAAGCGACACCAAACGAAAGGTCCTTACGAGACGATTCTAAAGCACCTAAAATTTTTGACCTCAGGTCAATTTTCAAAGTCAGGTGTCAAGGTCAAAGGCAAAAACCGGCACATGTGTAGTGATCTCAAAGTAAGCCTTCTAGAGGACGGCAGGCTGCATCAAACCGGCAAAATTGGGTGTCAAACGAAAGAAGAGAATCTGAAGATTCCGAAACTGTGCTCAAAATCAAAGGTCAAGGTCAAGGTCACGCTCAAAATTGACCTCAAACTTGGCACTTTTTCGCACATCTTGCGTGCTAACTTCCAAGATGTTTTGAAATGTTTTGAGGCTTATCAGTTCCCTATTTGTGGTTCATCTTACGATACAGGGCTGCTCAAAGGTCAAGGTCACAGAAGAATATCCCTGCTAGAGGCTATTTCACTAATTCAAGTTAGTAATAATAAATAAGACAGTTTTGCCATCCGGAAGCTCTAAATGAAGGCTTAGAGGAAAATAGATGCCAGATTCGTGATCAGCGGATACAAATCCATCATAAACGACCTTTCATGTGTCAAGGTCAACCAGAGGTCATTCGAGGTCACATGAGGTCAACATAAAATTTGACCTTTTCCGAACAAAATATATATCATTCGACGCGGCTTGACAAGGCGAATGCGATGGTACCACTGCCGTAGCTCTAGGACCATTTTTGTCGAAGTTATTTGCGAAAAACTAAAACCACATTTCGGGGTCGTTGACCTGACCTCTGACCTCAGGTCACCAAAACTATTTTTCTATTTTTCTCTAGGTCAAACGCTACACAACCGTGCTCGTAATTTGTCTTTATCTCTAAAACTCTATTTTTAGCAGCTATTTGAAGTTTGCGTCTGTGACGCCGAAGTTTGCCGTGCAGGGGTCTAGAAAAATGGACCTTGTGACGTCATCAAGGGGGCTAGGTCCAATTTTTTTACTTCAGAAGATGTCAAATTGATGGGAGAAAAGGTACTGAAAGTTTGGCTTTCCTATCCCTAAGCGTTCGGGAGCTATCGCAAATATTCGCCAGGGGGGGGGGGGCGAAAAACGCCCCCCCCCCCGGGCCCGCGAGGGCTAATGTATAAGAGGCTAAGAAATCGGTAAAAGTGGGTATTTCCCTCATTTTCCCAAGTTGGTTTGGTTTCGGTATTTTCCCGTGGTTTTGGTTGGTATTTGGTTTGGTATCGGTATTCCGATTTTTCGTAATTGACATCACTAGTAGGCCATTTCGGTCTGACGAGACCTTTTCAGAGCCAGAAGGATAAGAGATATTGGGGGGGGGGGGGGGGGCATTGGTCTGAGCAGAACCTTGTGGAGTCGCCGGGTTGAGCCCATCCAAAAGTACGGGCTGCCCCCCCCCCCCCCCCCCGAAGCACTCAGTGCACCCGCCTTCGGGTGTGCTCCGATGGAGGCTTGTTTGTTTGTTTTGTTGGGTTAGGCCCTTGCCCCTTTCGGTCCAATGAGACCATTTCAGAGCCGGGAGGATGATAGGATATAGGGGGAGACATTGGTCTGGGCAGGCACCCTAGTTAGTGAGTCGCCGGGGCTGAGCCCGTCCAGAGGACAGGCCACCCAGCCCCAAGGCGCTCACTGCACCCGGCTAGGTATGTATGTATGTATGTATGTATTGACACCAAAAGCCTTCCACATATGGCGTGGCGATTACGGCTTAGATCCGAGTATAATGGGTAACAATCATGCGGGCAGGGGGGAGAACATTCAGCACTAGACGACAGTCATCCATCGATGGGAGTCGCGACAGTAATCATCTATATATGTACATAAGACAAACAACATATATACATAAGCACAAACAGATCGTCCACCTATTGGCGGCATGCCTTGTCTACTACTAAACAGACTCGTCAGCGGCGTAGCGGGGATTTGTTAATCAGCGCGGCCCTGGCAGACCGGACGAAGCTGGCAGGTGGCAGCTGCACTACCTGGGGTGGGAGGCTATTTAACAGCGCCGCGGCGCGGTACTCAAAACGCCGTTTTCCGGTTTCGGGGTGCGCTCCCTCGGGAGCAGCTGTGCCGCTCCAAGGGAGCAGCCCGCATTAGATAAAGTTGCCTGTCCAGCCCGGAGGGAGGTTGCGGCGTGGAGAAGGATTTCAGTATCCTGAGGATAGAAGCACGGAACGGTGCCGATGGAGGCATGGAATGGAGCTACCATTTATACACCTACCTACACTCTGGAGCTACCCACATGGCGGTAGAAAGTTGCTCTTCCAGCCCGGATCAGCGTGTTGAGGCGTGGAGACGAAGGATTTGACTGTCCTGGGGATGAAAATAACGGAACGCTGTCTTTACATCTAACGGTAGGTATATAAGGTCTCGCATGTAACATGCATCTGTCTTTATACACAAGACTACTTTTTTACGCTTCATGGCTTGCCTCTGTTGGGGAAAAATAAAGGTATAAGGCTACCATATGTCCGGCAGCAGTGCTAACAAAACTGGCGCAGACGCTTCAATATCATAGGCCGAACACCTGTTTTGTTTTGCAGCGTATGCTGCTAGTGTTTATGAGTGTCGGCATAGTAACTGAAAGTTCTCCAATCAACACCAAGGGTTTAATAATTTTGGAAAGCATGGGCGGGCCATCAAGCAAGGGAGAGCATGACTTACTCATTCGCAAAGCGGCAGTGAACAGGGTTCACTGACATTAATGACTCCTCCGTTCCCCGGGGTTATATCATGCTATCATGATATGCGTTCCACACCGCTCAAGACAGGTTGTTTTCGCATTTATTCATCACTTTCGGCTATATCTTCGTGGATAGGGGTTTTTTAGAAGGCCATACAGCAAGTGAGGTCAGTTGCAGCAAGTATTTGTTTCTGATTGTACTGTCCTTGTATTTTTCATCACTGCTATGATTTGCGTTTTTCTAAGTTACTACTCGCCTTATGCAAAAAATGAGTATATTTATGGTTTAAGCTACCACTTGATCCAACATTTTCAGCATTAAGTAATGTTTCAAAATATAATTAAGGAAATTCAGAGATCTGAATTTGAGCTGTCATTTTCAGAAGGTACCAAGGTATTGATATTTAACTACCTACTGCATGTAACAATTTATAACACTTGGACTTAACAGCTTTTTATCATTTGATAAGAGCTTAGGACAAGTAGTATTGAAATGGGATAAACAATGGGAACTATTTTGAATTATATTCTTTTGAATTGGCTACACATGTGTTTCGACAAAATGTCTTTTTCAAGCCTTACATCCCAATTCAAAAGAATATAATTCAAAATAGTTCCCATTGTTTATCCCTTTTTATCATTTGTCTGTCAGTTGAAGTTGCCACCAATTTGGAAGAGCTGTCCACATATTTTAGTTTGATTGAAAGGCTTTATATTAATTTTAAATTTGTTTGAGTTTGATTGGTATAGTTCATATATTTTAAGTTTGCCCCCCACTGTCAATGTCTTTTTGATGAATTACTGAGAAAACTGGTTGGTGCACATTGATTTGACCAGATTTCACAGACAATCAAATTCATCAAATTTATTTACTATTTCACAGACTCATAAGTCATAGCTTGTATTTGCCAATACCTACAGCCCCACAGGGATAGACAACTTCTCAGGAATTATGTCTGAACTATTCAAAAAATTGCATGGCGTTTAACATAAGGTTACATCATCGGTGTTCAAAAGTTATTTTGAAAATATTATTCATATCTCCAATACAATGTGCATTGTGCGCTAGCCAGTTACCTCAGTAAATCAGCTAGCAATGCTCGTGCCGTGTTCAATGAGACGTTGACAGTGACGGGCAAACTTAAAATAAACAAACTATAGTTGGTTTTGTATTCTGCAACTGCTTTGCATAGATGTTTCAAAATTTATTAGATTCTATGATTTTCTGGAGGGGCTTGTCTGCTTCAAATGTGAAATGCTTAGGCCCTGGTTCATTATTTTCAGATTGGAACAAAAGTTTCTTAGTTTATACGTTAACAATAGTTAGTTGGTTACCTTTGCTCACTGTGCTGTGATAGGCAGTCTGGGCAGAGGCACCTTTGAAGTTTGAACTGTTCGCTGAGGAATAGGTACCTACCTACTCTAACATCCTACAGGACATTGTTTTAAATGCAAATCAGAATATTTTCTAAAAATGCAAGACTAAAGATACAGGTTCAATTGTTAAAGCCTCAGACAAATTAAGCTGAATCTGTAGAAGTCTGTTCCACATTGAGCTACTTTTAACCTTTAACCACAGTTTATGCTGTATATAAATATGATATGCTTTTAACAATCCGAGCAGCATTTATTTCTCATTTTGCCTGATGCTTGAGAATGCTGGGTGCTTTGCTTTTTTTGGGGTATACTATCATAAAAAAGTTAAATATCTGACATATTCACCTCAACAGATGCAGATTATTCCTCATAACAGGGAAATAGGAATTTATAGTCAATGCAATTAGTTGTTGCTATTCGTAGGCATAGGGTCATAGGGTCATAATTCAAATCTAAGTATTTCAGAAGGCATGCATTAATTTTCTGCATACATAAGTTTAAAGGGACTATCCCACCTTCTAAAATGTTGTTAAAACCAGTTAAATTGTGTCCGACTTTATAGATTGGATGACCAGGAACACGGTTCTGGCATTTATTTTTCATTAAACATCTTAGGCTTCCCATATTCCAAACAAACTTTCAAATATGTGACGTCACAGCCCAAAATTACCTCCTTCCCCAGGCCACATTACTGTCATAAAGCTGATTCTTTTTACTCTGTAGGCACCACAACAAAGTTCAGACCAAGTTTTAAGCGATTTTTCAACGAACAAACCCATTTAAATCAGAATGACTAAACGAGGTGACGTCACACTAACGGTCGCTCCATGTTGAAGATAGGGCCTTGCGCAAGGCCCATTTTCAAATGAAGGGAACGAACTTCTTCAACACCAAGAGGCCGCGGGGGTTGCAACCTAGATAGATAGTGGTTTCTGAACCTTGCCGCAAACTTGGCTATCTCAACTCAAACCCCATGTTAAAGGTGGGATAGTCCCTTTAAGTTTAGGAATAGAGCACAAGAGATTAGTTGGCAAACTCAATTCAATCATACTTTGCTCACAAAATAGTTTTTATTTTACAGTGGGCTGCAGAAGAAGGAATAGGTATACAGAATGTATAATGTATATGTATAATGTTATACATATACATACATACATACATATACATAATGTTAATTGTTATACATATATATAAAGAAATGTATAATGTTCAATGCAGTGGTTGGATGCCAGATGCTCATGAAAAAAACTTAGGTAAAGTGCAATGAAGAGGCAAAGTAGGTACCTTTGAGTATGTGCCTTCATGTTTGTGACAAATATGTACATGTTTTCATGAAATCGAAAAGTCAGATAACTCACCATGGGTAAAGAGGAAGTCATCGTTAAGGAGACTGTTGAAGATGTGACCAAAGAGCTGGCTTCTTTGGTGGAGAAGGAGGCAAATGAAGCTATTCAAAGCCGGGGGAAGTTCATCATTGGTTTGTCTGGTAAGAATGTGCATTGCTTGCTTTTGTAATGTTCATCTTTCTCTAAGCTAATCAAATATGTCTCAAATAGATATTGAAGTTCAGTTGGTTGATATTCTACCTAACAGTATGTGATAATTATTCCGCAGGTTGCCAATGTGTTTATCACACTTACAGGCGGGGCACGACCATCCACTTTTCTTGTTGGTGAGAACCACAATCACAGCTACCTTGTTTCTCCGCCAGGTGGCAGTCTGGTCAATTTTCTGGCGGCCGGACTGCCGACAATCAGTACGGACTGGTCGCTCTGGCACGTGCTCTTCTGTGACGAGCGCGTGGTGCCGTTCAACAGCGACGACTCCACGTTCGGCGTGTACCGGCGTCAGCTGAAGAGCAACGGCGGCGCCCTGCCGCTGACAGAGTCCCAGTTCCTCTGCGTCGACCCGGGTCTGGACGCGGACACCGCCGCCGCCGACTACGCCGCCAAGGTGTCGGCGCTGCTGGGGCCGGGCCGCGCGCCGCGCTGCGACCTGCTGCTGCTCGGCATGGGCCCGGACGGCCACACGTGCTCGCTGTTCCCGGGCCACGCGCTGCTGAGCGTCACCGACCGCGCCGTGGCGGCCATCACGGACTCGCCCAAGCCGCCGCCGGCGCGCGTCACGCTGACGCTGCCGGCGGTGAACGCTGCGCGCGCCGCCGTGTTCGCCATGGCCGGCGCCGGCAAGGCGGACATGGTGCGGCGCGTGCTGCGCGACCGCGAGCCGCTGCCGGCCGCGCTGGTACAGCCCACCGACGGCAGGCTGGTTTGGATTCTGGACCAGGCCGCCGCCGCCAAACTCTGAACACTCGACACGCTGAGCTTTTAACGCTAACAGTACGCAGTGTCACCTGTTCACGCTGTTGACGATATGCCGCAATCTGCATAACGTGGACCGTATTGTAATCGCTGCGTCGTGGCACGTTGTGGTAATGGGGTGCACTGCTGCTTGTTGGGGGCCAACTCAGACACTGAGCAAGGTGGATATAGTCTGTGGTAGTGGAAGGCACGGCGGTGGACTCTGAAGTCATTCGCCGAGTAAGTCCTAAGGAACTGTGCACAGTGCACTCGCTTCTTCTGTACTCACTTTGAGACTTTTTGGAGTATTTTACGTATAGGTCATGGTGATATTATTCAGAGGAAAGTATTTTTATCGTTGTTGATAGTTATATGTTATATATGCTCTCGAATCTGGATGAGAATGGCTACTGCCAGTACTGCATTCATACTGCTATTTGCGATTCGGCTGCATGCAAGGGTAAGAAAACATTCCTATTTCGCCCGTTTGTGTTACGAGTTCCCCATGACACTCATGTAACGATTGTGCCTTTTCCTCTCCATTTTAGTGTCGTATGCTCGGATGACCTATGTCGCTTTGCTACAACTTTGTATATCAACAATCAGATGAAATACAACGACCGAATACATTTTATGTTTATAATGTATTACGTGATTATGACGACAAAACAATCATTGTTAGTTTACAAAAATAAAGCAGCCACAAGAACCACAGAGCGAGGGCTGTCACCCTGCACTAAAAGCGGAGGCACCAGACTACCCTCTCTACCCGCGACACCCTTGCATTACGGTGCTGTTGATTCTCAGCGTTCCTCCCATGGCGAGTGGATCACACGTCTAACCCTGTTTCGCGTCAGCGAACGATGCAGCAAGCGTGGGGGCCCGAGCGGCGGGCACATTCACACAGGAGCGCACTCACGGCGTAGTGTCCTGCGAGACGTGGGCCGGGCGCGGAGACGGCACACCCTACCCTCCCGGACTCGGCGACGCGAACAGGACGGAGCGAACGGTGCCCTGGGGCCGGACAGTCGGGCAGCAGGATTGGCCCCAGTGGCTTGTCATCTAGAGGGAGCGTGCCAGTCGGCACTGGGCACTGTAGAAACGCTACGCGTGCAGTCTAGACCCGTCCTGGAGAGTGAACACTTGCGAAGACTGGCGGCGGCTCCGACAGACCGCCCGACGCTGGCCGACACGAGTCTCTGTCGACAGGAAACAGAGTCAATGAGTCGAACGGAGCGAGGCATTTACCCTGGTGTAATGTGCCATTAGAGCCTAGTTAATTAGGAGGCTTCAGGGTAATCAATAATGCAATGAATGGGTGAATGACGAACTTCACAAACATACCTGGGGTCGCTACCTAATGAATTAAACCCACAATAATGCAGTGCCTCTACCTCGCACATCATTAATATTCAGCGTACCGCCATAAACGAGCATACTAACGAAATTAAACCCCTACATTCCCGAAGCATAAAAATGGGGCACATCATTTGTCACAATCAACTGCTGTGTCTAAAATACTCCGCAGTCCGGACACATCCATTTTCATCACCCCAATGCGAGCATCCCGTCAGACTTCAGTGACTAGCGAGAACCCCCCCCCCTCCCCCTCCCTGAGCGTTGACGCGCCGAGGCACTCAGGAACTCCACTCACATGTGTGTGGTGTGTGCGATGGGCGCGAGCACGCTAGCGGATGGAGCGTCGGCTGCCGAACAGGTTCAAAAGGCTCCAGTCGCTGCTCTGCGAGTCGTCAGCTCCGCCGTCCACCTGCGGTAGCCACAGAAAGCAAGCGAGCTGAATACATTGAAAGGAATGCATTTGGCGGGCGCGGAAACGAACAGGCTGCAGGCTACATGCGAGGTAATGAAGGGCTTTTCCGGGTGACATATCACTTCCATGCAAAGCACTAGGCAGGTGCGCCTAGTGACACAATGTGGGTGGCCATTTACAAACTGGCTGTCCCCAGACAAGCTATTTCCCTGGACGGATGTCACTTAATTATCTTTGTTACACATGAAAAGCCTCAACGGATGTCGGCGGATGTCTACCGTTCCTATGTGAAGCCCATGCGAAAGAGCTGAAATTCTGGTCTGATGGTTTTGTTTGTTTTGTTGGGTTAGGCCCTTTCGGTCCAATTTGACCATTTCAGAGCCGGGAGGATGATAGGAAATAGGGGGAGACATTGGTCTGGCTGGGCAGGCACCCTAGCGAGTCACCGGGGCTGAGCCCGTCCAGAGGACAGTCCGACCAGCCCCAAGGTACTCACTGCACCCGGCTACGGGGTGCGCTCCCTCGGGAGCAGCGGTGCCGCTCCAAGGGAGCAGCCCGCATGAGATAAAGGTGCCTGTCCAGCCCGGAGGGGGCTGCGGCGTGGAGGAGAAGGATATCAGTATCCTGAGGATAGAAACGACGGAACGGAGGTCTGGGTCGAGAACTTGACGTAAGCAGCAGTCTGGAGCTCTCCCAGCCAGTCCGTTTGAGTTTTCTCAGACAAGTTTTGCCTGCTGATGTGTTTCACCATCATTGTTGGGTATGGCTTTTTACTGAAAAGTGCATGTATTCGAGGCTGCCAAACAATCAGTCTTGATAACATTGATTGCCTCGGTGCAGTTGATGCTGGCTATCAATCAATCGGGCAGCAGTTATTGCACTAGAAAATTGATGGTCTGCTATACCTATCTTGCTGTTGGAGAGACAAGTGATATGGTGTGCTATGAGACGGTAACGCTTTGAATGTTGCGACAAATTCACCGGCTGAAAGTCCGACAGTTGTACGCGGAGTTCGTTACTGGACACTGTAATGGTCGTTACGAGGCGGCGCCTACCTGACCGGGCGACAGTTGAGTGGACCGGCGGGTGGTGTAGCTGGCCGACCGGCTGTCCCGGTGGGAGATGCGCTTCGCCAGCTCCTGCACGTCACGGAGACACGTCAGATAGGCCGCAAGCTGCAGTGAGGATTGCAGGGGCAGCGGAAGCCACATTGGATACGGACATTATTTGGCATCTCCGCTGCCGACTCGGACGCACCTTACTTAAGAGTACTTATTTTTACATTTATCATTGCGCGGAAAATGAGACATTCCACGTATCCAAATGAACAGAGAGTCAGAGATGGCCTTTATCTTCAAAACAAAGTAAACGCAAGTGCAATGACGGTGTCACCGTACCTACCGGAGGAAACCGTCCATTGGCACTGCCATTCGCCTCCTCCAGTCTCACCTGTCCCTCCATGTCGTAGAGCGTGGTGGACATCTTGTTGCCGACGAACCAGGTCTGTCCCTTCATGACGAGGCTGTGCGGAGGGTCGTGGACGGCGTTGTCGTCGACGCCGTGCGCCTCCGACGCCCAGACGGTGGTGTCCTCCCCGGGCCCGAGCTTGATGGCCCGGTGGAACTTGTAGTCTGTCTCGTTCCCGTCCGCCCTGCGCACCAGTTGCATCCCGCCCAAGGACACCTGACAAGGGGTGGGAAGGGTGGTCAAACGTGCTCGTTCTTGGAATGTCAGAAGCTCAATGTGTTTATCGAAGACAGGTTTTAACCCTCGCCCATGTAGGGGGGGGGTTGGTGCAACCCCCCCCTGAGGTTTTTCGGAAATAGTGCAAAAACGGCGGCGCGCAGCGCCGCCAAATTTTGCGTACCTTATGGGGCAAACCTTGCGCATCTTTTGATAAAAAAAATTTGACCGGGTCATGTCAGGTCACGGAGTTATGACGTCACAAAGGGAACAGCCTCCAGCCGGATTTTCACAAACTGAGTGCCAACGCCCGAGGTTTCCTGCCGGTGGTACGGACATCGGTTGATGGATCGTGATGAAACTTCCCATGCATGTTGGGGCAAGTATTGGCTATCATATGGTATAAGAAACTTGACCGGGTCAGGTCAGGTCACGGAGCTATGACGTCACAAGAGGAACAGCGTCCGGTACTATTTTTGAAAAGCGCCCGAACCACTATTTTGCTAATTCTTGTCACCTCAATGAGAATATGCAGCAATATTAGCTTCTATAGGGAGCAAATAGACCTCCCAAATCCAAAAATACAATCAGATTTCAAAAATTTAATTTTTGATTTTTCGAATTTTTTCCGCCGACTGTGACCTTGCCGACTTCCGGCGCTCCCAACGCGCCATTTTTAGAGCTAGGGAAACGAAATACATACCAAACGATAGAGAATTGATCAAGGAACACGATAGTGAAGTTTTCAAGTCGATATCTCCCACCGTTTTTGCCTCAATCGCCGCGGAAAGTTGAAAAAAGTCTATTTTTCCGAAAATTTGACCTTTGACCGGTCAAAAGTAGGTCAAATGTTGACCTAGGACCAAAAAATATACCACCAATCGCGAGATCTCGGCGAGAGCAATCCGTTGGTCTTTTCCGCTAAGCTCTACGACGCTCCGTTTTCAAACGCCAAGGGGGGGGTCGCACCAACCCCCCCCCCCCCCCTGCATGGGCGAAGGTGGCAGATCGCCGTTTACGGGCGAGGGTTAAACAGTCTTTACAGGTCTACGCACTGAGCTTCGTATCGTGATCTCCATACTGTAAAGCCGCTCCCTCCCCATCAGTCAAGAACGTCTCACCTCCTTGTTGGACTTGTTGTGCAGCTTGACGTACTTTCCGTCGGGGCAATCGTCAATAATCTGGATGTCTCCGTGGCAGGTGGAGGTAACACCAACTCCTGACGTGGACGCCTCCTCCGACTCGATCAGAGTTCGCTTCCTCTTCGCCTGGCCTCCGCCGCCGACTCGCGCGGTGGCCCTGCTCGCTCCGCTTCCTCCGGACACCTCGACCAGATGTCCGCCACCAGGCGACAGCTTCAGCCGGCTCTCCTCCGACTCGAGCAGCTTGCGGTAGGCGGCGATCTCGATGTCGAGCGCCACCTTGATGTCCATCAGGTCCTGGTACTCCTGCAGCTGATCCTGCATCATCTGCTCCAGACGACGCAGCTCCTCGTTCTTGGCGGCGAGCATCGCGGCGCTCGACGAACGCTCGTCGTCCAGCTGCCGGTAGAGGCGTCGGGCAAATTGTCAAGTGTTGGGTCAGGGGTCTCACATCAAGGAAACGATGATGTCGTAACTGAGAGATTGGGTTCATTCCTCTGGCTTTGGGACATGAACATTTATTTCCCTCGATATTTGGTTAGTGGATAGTCACCCGATTTTTTTTTGTAGCTAAGCACCAGGATGTTTTGATAACCACAATCTCTGACTTTTTCAATCGGTAGTATGAATTAGAGCGAATTGCCCCCATTGTGACGTTGTTTCCTGCCTACAACATCAGTTTCTACTTCAACAACCATTAACTCCTACTTCTGCTCCGATCGACAATGTATCATGGTAAGTAACGTGTAAGGAAGCTTTCAACGATGGTGAAACACTATCGTTTCCCGGAAATGCGGCCGATTTAACTTTTTTCCTCAGCCAGTCCGTCCATTGTCTACTACTTAATACGACCTGGGTACCTGTTTCTCGAGGTCTCTGATGCGGCTCAGAAGGGTGGCGTTGGTGCCCTCCAGCTCGCTGATCTTGCCGGTGAGACCCTCGATGCGAGAGCGCATCTCGCGCAACTCCTTGAGCGTGGTGGCCGTGGAGAGCTGGTTGCGGGCCTGGGAGTTGCGCAGTTCGTCCATCTGAGAAGAAGCGATCTCTGTTACTAACCTGGCTTTGGTAAAAACGACATCTACTACCGAACTGATGTTGATCTGTTACGGGCCTGACATCGGACGTCGAGTAACGTCCTGAGCCACGACCACGTTCGTTCAGTGGAATTATCTCATTCATCCATCAACAAGCATCCCATGTACCGACACCCCGATAAATGAGGAATGCGCGTGCTGCAAAGTCCTCGACACAACACAGCCGCGCAGCTTGTTGGCCCTGCGTCACCTTGAGGTTGTAGATGGCCTCGATCTCCTCTCTGTTGGCCTTCATCTGCGCCTCGTACTGGTCGCGCAGGTCCTGCAGCGACTCGCGCAGCCGGACCTCGTACTCTTGCTGCAGCCGGCCGTCCAGCTCGGTGATTTCCTCCGTCTTCTTGGCGCGTGTCTCCGTCAGCTGGCCCTCGTACACCTGAAAGGGGTGATGCGGGTTAGTGTGTCACCTAGGACGTGTACTCGCAGCCTGACATGGGATTATCCCAGGCTGACGTGCTGCTTTGACGGGCGTATGCTCCGGACTCTGGTTATGCCAACATCGTGTGAACAGAATTAGTCTGGCAGCAACAAGTGAAGTGGATGCCACATATTATCATCCAGTCAAACCATGGTTTATGAGGTAACGATGATGGTTGATCTTAGGCTGCGTGATCCGGAAGGCTTGAGGCGTCACCATTTACAGTTTATATTTTTGTTCGATTCCTTCACAAAACTCTGCTGACATCATCTACGTTTTCATATCGACTCACGTTGGTCTTGAATTCGAGCTCCTCCTTGAGGCTCTGGCAGCGGTTCTCCATGTCGACTCGGCCCAGCGCCTCCGACTCCAGCTGCTTCCGCACCTCGTCCAGCTGCTTCTTCAGCTTCATGTTCTCCAGTTGCACTTCCTGGAATAGCAAAGGACACGTCTTAAGGACACGTAACAAAGGTTCACGTCTGTAAGGAGGAAGAGGCGATATACGAGGGGCATACATTGCTGCCCTAGTTCATGGCTTTTCATAGATAAGTCAAGGATGACGGAAAACTTCTTACCTCGAGCTCTTCCTGAGCCTTCTTCTTGTCCTGCAGAGCCTGGTGGAGACGCCCTTGCAGATCCCTGATCTGCATGTCCTGCATGGATATCTTCTTTTCAGCATTGTCGAGCTCTCGTTCACGGCGGATTAGTCTGAAAAGCAGACGGGTCGGGTCAGCAATGCATTTAACTGAACGCTGCGTCGCGAGCAATGCACTCTACTGATTGCTAAATATTCCTGTGTCGAGCAAGAAATGTTTTGATAAAAAGGTGGCTTAAGCACCATTCCTACAACTGCAGTGATCCAGAGATCACCAGCCGATCAACACAATGGTAGCACAAGTTCCTTCCCGGAACCCGATCGGGTGAGTTCGATCACCGGCCTACGTCAGTTCGGAGGCACGCACGCCGCGCTTGCACCGGAACGTCGTTCCAGCCGAGTCGCAACGTTCCGCCGCAAACGTCACTGCGCGCGCCGCGATGGCCGCAGCTGCTGGCTGCCGTATATATTTGGGAGACATCCGGCAGGAGGTGGTCCCAGGGCCGGTTCGGGGATGGTGGGGCGGGGGAGGAGATCATGTATCATCGCCGACTCAACTCGCCGCCACCCTGCAGGCCTGGCTCTCCTGGAGACTGTCAGTTTCTAATGCATCTGGACAGCTGCATACGCGTGCCAACTTGAATCGAAAGATGTCAAAATCTGATCTGTGTGCGAAGTCAACGAGGTAATCAAAACGGACAAGCAAACTAGATTGTAATCTCATTAGTTTGAAAGAAGCTTACACAGATGGCAGAAAACATGCAGAGCAGCACTGGCCGTCGTCAAAGGAGCCCAAATAATTGAGTTGACAGTTGACACACCTGGCAGGCAGCCACGGCTGTCAGGCGTTTGTCAGATGACAAACAGCGTCTGACAGTCAGCGTGACATGGGCCTGATAGCCGCGCCTGTCCCATCCACTCGCTGATGGATGAGGAATTGCCGCTGGTTTGTCTGACACGATCCATGACCCCCACGGCATCCTCCACCCCCCCCTCTCTCTCTCTCTCTCTCTCTCTCTCTCTCTCTCTCTCTCTCTCTCCCAGGGTCACGTGTCATCTGCGGCCTGCCCCATCAGGCCTGCTTGTCCTCGGTCATCTATGCGTGTTTGCCGACCCCGGGCCGGAAACTGGAGTGGTGTGTAAACCCCGTGACGACCCGGGTCCCCGGTCATATTCCTTCCCCACCCACGCCGGCGCTGCGGCGCAGTGTGCGCACGGTCAATATTTGTACTGTGGGGTGTGCCATTCATGGCAGCGACGGGAGGCGACCTCCTAGATCTCGGTAAGGGCCAAGGCCCGGACGGACTAAGGCGGATCATAGACAGCGGACCATCACTGAGCCATCCCAGCCATGATTTGACCGATTCGGGTCGCTGGCAGGACTATCACCGATGACGGTATCGCGTGACACTGACGCACGGGCGTCATGCCGTCCTTCTGTGTCACAAGCTACCGACTTTCGCCGGCGTCGGACCACCCAGGGAGCGGACACTCCCTCGGAGCAGGCAGGTTCGGCCAGGTGGACCTGGTTCCCGGCTCATTGATGACGCACGCTTTTGTGGCGGTGATACGAGCTAACAAGTGGTTCGATTGGTAGAAAGTTTCCGAATACCCACGTTCCACGCGCGCTCATGGCAGGTATTGTAGCCTTCTTGTATTTTGGGGAGAGGCGTCCCCGGAGCGCTCAGCGCACCGTGCAGCCCTCCCGGAACACTGGCTGATGGCCAGGAGCAGACTACGTCTCCCAGATGGCGCTGTCCTGCACGTGCTGCCTCTGTGGGCGGTGGGCCGTCCGACCTCCGTGGGCGGTGGGTTGACCTCGGTGGGCGGTGGGCGGCGGTGGGACGTGGGCGGACCAGGTGGAGAGGTGACGTCACCCCGCGGCTCCTACGGCGGCGGCTGGGACCGTGCAGCTGCCGCCCGAGGAGGACCGGTCCGCTCGCCTGCAGGGACAGCTGCCGGCCCATAGTGACCGGCGCGGAAGGCGGGGGCGGACTCCGCCACCGCCCACGCACCTCCTCCAAGGAATGCCGGGCGTACCGGCGGACCGGCGTCCTCTGGGGCTCAGTGCTGCCATCTACCAGCGGATGGCGAGGGACGCCCACCAGCCGCCGGGAATCGTTTGCCAGAGCTACGATGTCACGGATTGAAGTTTACGACGGGCTGCTATGCAAGATTGGCTTTGTTATCGGTTAGGCTGACCATGAAACGAGGCGATTATCTAGCGGAACGCCAGTTCGTCTATCGTGCATGGTGCTCGAAAACTGCAGAAGATCATCGGCTGTGGAGGCTAACACGTGTCATCTTCCTTCATTATTGCGCCGAAAGGAAGGACTGCGCGTCTATGCAACTCACATTGGCGGCAACACACACTCGTAACTAGTACGCGTTTCTGCATCCAAAACGCTGCGGTTATGGCGTGAGCCATGCATTTCAAACTTATTGTCACCTCGAAAGCTTTAATCGAATCAAAGCAGTCAGTTGGGCTTTTTGCAGTAGGTACCTCCTGCATTTACCGATTTTTTTTTATGCATCGGGCCTGTCGTGAAAAGCGATTATACTTTGTTGGGCGATTTGGCCCAGTTACTAACGAAGTATCAGGACGAGGTGCAAACAATGTTTTAAAACCACAACGACTTCGCCGTGTGACAAATAGCCGCTCGAATGACCTCAATTTTCACCTCGGAACGCGTTGTAATATAAATGAAGGTCGAGCCGCCGACCGTACGTTTGAAACCGACGGTGCCAAATCCAGGAAGCCGGCACTCGATCGATCTGCCCTCGTCGGTCCATGACGACACGGCCCGCCGAGCCTCTCCTCTGCCCTCTCCCCCTCCCACCCTGGGAGCCTGTCCCGAACCCGTTCAATGGCGGACAGAGAGCCCGCTGATAGCTCATAGCTGCAACCTCGACCGGGGGCGGTGAGCAATGCCAATAGATTGAATAAACCAGAAAATATTTTTATTTAATTAGTAAAACCTGGCATTGTAAAGCCGATCGCTAATCCGCTAGATGTGACTTTGATTCCTCCTTTAAGATAATATCAAAGTATCAACTTTCAGACATCAGCTACCCATCATTCTCACCTCTCGATTGGAGGCCGAAGATGGACAAGCCCTCAGGAACGGCCGACGGGCCCGGTCTGCCCGCTGCCCCATGTGGCGCAAGTTAAATATTTTCACGATGGGTTCCGCACAGGTGAGAGCCCGGTCGAACACGGCACGAGATGCTCTCTTCCTCTCTTTTATCCCTCCCCACTGACACTCTGTCCTGTAATTGTTTGGGGAGGAGAAAGGACTGTGAGATGGGTAGCCCCCGGGCACAAATCTGAAGGTCTTCCGCGCCCAGGTAATGACGCCCGTCAGCAGACTGTGGGCGGCATGGTGACCTCAGCGTCATTTACGATGGGCGAGGTGCCCTCGGTTCCCGTCCCGCGGCGAGAAATGAGCGTAGAATAACGGTACCAAAGGCCGGGCGATACGATACAGGGAAGACGAGCCGCGTGTCTGCCGTCAATCACATACCAGCCGGGCTAACTATTATTTCGCACGCCTTCAAACGTTGATCATTATATTATAAACAGTTTAGCGGAGCTAACAAAAGACATTTTTCTTGAACTTCACTTATCGTCATCATGACTATCGCGATGAGCATTTCAATATTTGAAGACTGGAGAGCTAACGTCAACCAATGAATGGAACGTACTTCGTAACATTCTCAATAATAAATTAATTCTATCTGGCATCTGCTTTACGCGAAGTGATGCATTCTTAAAAAGTCAGCATAAGAAGATGTGCTATTTACTTCAAACAAAAACCTGTTCCGTTATTTTCCCAGTCTACAGGGGCGGCGCCACGAATTTTTGACTGTGGGGTACTAGGGTGAAAAGGGCCCATGCATAGTGAAAGGAGCATATGGTGAAAAGGGCCCTTGCACGCTGAAAAGGGCACATACATTTATCATGGCGTAACCCGCGCTGTGCTGGGGGGAGGGTTATGTCCCCCTGTCAGGTTTTTTTTGCGAATATCTCGTTTTTGGTACACCTGTTCATACATCATTTCCACACATATTGTGAAAATCTCAGACCCAGTTCTTCAAGGTCAGGTCACCAGGTCACGTCAAGTGACCATAAGTCAATGGGAGAAAATTGAAATGTTCCTCTTTTGGACGACTATGTCGTTCAAAATGCTCTCAAACATCGGTTCCTACGTAAACATAACACACTGAATCGGAAAACTACACCTGTGACCCCTCTGTATGCCCCTGGGATCATCTCAGGTCAAGGGCGGATCCAGCCGGCCGTCTTGGGGGGGGGGGGGGGGGGCCAACCGGTTGGGACTAGCCAAACCTAGGGTGCCCCCAAATCTAGTTTTCTCACCGGTTTTAGGCCACTTATTTTTCACCCTTCGCCTTTTCATCGAAAAAAAAAACGAAACGAAATTATTTGTAAAAAGTGAGATATTTTGTCTCAGCTGAGTCAAGGAACTACCTTTTTGGTAACGTAGAATAAAGGCTTAAATCTTCCACATGAGCTGTCAAGAGAGGTAAAGAGGGGGATTTTTTTCTTAAATGTTTTCTTCCCTTTAGTTTTCCTTTGTGACCCACAACCGCTAATTCAGGGAGGGCGCTGCCCCGACGGTTCCTAGCCCTATGAAAAGTTGTGGGGCAGCGCCCCCACGGCCCCAGAGTTGTGAGGGCAGGCTGCCCCCACTGACCCCCAGCTCCCGCGCCCATGACCACAAAGTTCAGGCCCATGGCCCGGCGTCGAGCTCAAATTCAGACTCGGCAATGTTGATGGTGTGTCCGAGTTCAGACAAGCTGAGCTTATGCTGGGTTCAGCTAGGACGATTGAAGAGGTATCCTGTTGGCCTAAATACCGGACAAACTCAAGCTCTAATTTTGCATTTAATGCTTAATTATCCTACTATGTTGAGTGAAAACTACCCATGTGTCATTAAGTATAACTTCAAATAGTGGGTTTAGTTAGTGACATATGGTGGAACCTTCTCAAAATGACGCTTGAAACACTTCAAAAAACAAGTACAGGTAAGGGGAAATTGTGTCTTCCTCTGCTAACCCTCGCCCGTATAGGGGGAGGGGTCGAACAGACCCG